GAATAATTTTGAACACAACTGTAAGTTGTGCAACCAGGTACATAATGGACACTTCTTTCATCAGTCTCAAGCAGCCGCTGCGCCTTATGTGTTCTCATTGGCCTGCAGGTAGACATCGTAAGAGGATTCGGGCTATATGTAATTTTGTTTTTAAGAGTCACCATGTTTGTCAGCGTTGTTTTGGCTGAGGTTTGCTGCACTCTTTGCTTTGATTCAGCTATGGATCCTGCTGTTCCAGTCTTTGAGATGGTGTATGAGAAAAACCCGGTTCGGAGCAATTTTGAGAGGCGCCTGGAAGTTAGCACGCAACCTCTGAACATTATTTACAACCCACAAGCCATTAAGAAAGTCGCCGACTTCTTCTACAAGGGAAGGGTTCACACCTCAGGTGAGTCATTTATTTTGCATATATATTTGTAGTTCTTCATTTTCCTCTTTGAATATTGTTTCTTCATACTTAGTACTACAAAAATGATAGAATCACAGAATTGGCCGGGGCCTCTTAAGGCCATCGAGTCCAACCTCCTGCTCAGCACAGGAATCCCAGTCAAAGCAAATCCGACATAGATTTGCCCTGTTGGTTTCCCAGGAGGCATCTGTTTGGCCACGGTGGAAAAGAAGGTGCAAGAAGTAGATCCGGTCTGGTTCATCTAAAACGAGTGGAATGGTTTTTAGGTCCTACCCATCTTGTGAAATAATAAAATGGTCCCATTTAACCAGTGGAACAAGTTTCTGCTGAACATCCTGTAGGTGGTTCTCCACTTCGTCACATGTGTTTCCATCCATAAAGGTGAAGTCAAGAGATCAGTTAGGGTTCTGGGTAGGTTGGTTCATGACAAGGTGGTTCAAAATCCATGATTTCTTAAAACCAAATTGATGTTTAAAAACTTAAGTAATAATAATAATAAAGTTTTTTTTAAAAATAAATAAATTGTGATTCAAACCACCATTTGAATCAGTTTGATTTCAGTCAAATCCGCCCTGGTTTTTAAAAATGGAAATCTTCATTTTGGCGAATTCATATACAGGCTTGATTGACCTTCAAGGCATTTGGGACTCTTATCATCCCATGGAAAGTCCAGAGGTGTCTGGTTCCATCAAAGATAAGATTTTTATTTTATTTTATTTTATTTTGGTTCTTTTCTCATTTGAAGGGTAAACTGTGCTGATACAGGTAGCTCCTTGAGTGATATTTTCAAAAGCTGGAAGAGGAGATTAGGGTCCTTTGGTCTTAGAGCAAAAAACAACATGTCAATAAGGCATGGCTCATTTTGTGTCTCTTGGTGCAGGTTTTGGGTGTCAGTCTGAGCTCGAACTGAGAGTGGCGGAAGCTGCCAGAAGACAGTACAACAAGCTCAAAATGCAGACCAAAGCGGAAATCCGGCAGACGATAGACCGCCTGCTTGTAGGGGATTTCATAGTAAGTTCATTGGGGGAAAAGTCAAAATTCATTTCTTTGATTCTGCAGCAAACAGTCCAGAAGGAGAGGAATGGGGTGCTGGGCACCATGAGTACTGTATAAAATAGGAAGATGTGATTAAAAAGCAAAATCCTGAAACCTAGATGGACTGAATGCATTTTATAGATAGGACAGGAAAGATTGTGTAAAATAGTTAGTCCAGAATGTGTTTGATAGCAGCAACATGTAGGTTCCTATTATACACATCCTGTTGGGTACCTTAGTTCAACCATCAGTCCAAACAGAGACTGAAGCCAAGAAACCAGAAGACGATTGAATGGCAGTAGTAAAGGAATGTGAAAAGATCATCAAGTGAAAGGGTTTGTCCCCTGGAGACCAAGACCCAGATCAACCACACTCTTGTATTCCCTATCGCTACGTATGGGTGTGAAAGCTGGACAGGAAAGAGAGCTGAGAGGGGGGAAAAGAAATGGTTTGTTTGAAATGTGGTGCTGGAGGAGAGCTTCCTCGATGGCCAGGAAGATGAACAAAGGGAGGTCCTAGATCAAATCAAGCCTGAACTTTCTCTGGAGGCCAACATGTTGTGCTTCTGCTGATGTTTCAGGTAGGCATCTGCCACAAACGGTTCTAAACATTTCAAAGACTCATTTCGTCTTTGCTTTTCAGGAGGACAGCAAACGCTGGACCGTATGCCTTGATATTTCAGCCCCGCAAGTGATCTTCCCTGATGACTTTAAACATGCTGACCCCGTTTTAGTGGTGATTGATTTAGGAAGAATGCTGCTTACCAATTCTCAAGGTATCGTTGGGTTTCTTGGGGGTGGTAGCAAGGGGGACAAAATGAACCCTGTTTTCAAATGCTTGTATTATTGGACTTGCAAACACCAGAGTGAACTTAAGCAAGTGCAGAAACTTTCCCATTATTGTAATCCAGAACCAACTTATAGCAACCCTAATAGAGCTTTCAAGGTAAGTGAGATATTTAAATAGTGGGTTTACCAGTTCCATTCCTCCAGTGAGCTTCCATGGCTAAGTGGGGATTCAAACCCTGTTCTCCAGAGTCCTAGCCCATCACTCTATCCAGTGCACCTTTATTGGTTAAGATCTAATTGACAGGTACCAAGGGTGGAACCTCTTTAGTGCCAGTTTTGTAGTTCAGGACTAGCTGTGTAAATTGCTGTTTCCTTTTGGCAGGAGGTTGGTTGCTTTATTGAGCCGCTGTGCTGCCTCCTTGTGTCCATATACTTAAAGAACTATTTCTGCTCACGGTACCTTCCAGTGTTCTTTAATATTCATGACGTGAGCCGTTTTCAGAGGGTTGTGTCTTGAGAGGGTGAGGCATAAATCAAGTAATTAATGCATGATCACGTGCCATTGGCTGCTCCTTTCTGAATTTGTAGAGGAGCACAAGAAGAAGAGTTTGGGTGGTCCATCCTCGGAGCTGAGCGATGTGAGCGATGATGAATATAGAACACCTCTGGCCACCCCTCCCAGCAGTCCACGTCCAGAAGCCAGGGGGAGAAGCGAGAACAAGACACTTGGGTTCTCAGGGGTAGAAATCAGCGAAGAGCAACTGCAAGCCCACCTGATGAGTAAGAAAATGTACGATACCTACAGCTTATCGTTCATGGACCTTCAGATCATGGTAGGGCACGTGAAAGACAATTGGAAGTACGCCCAGGACGTCGACGTGGGCCCCACTCACGTGGTGGAGAAATTCAACGTCCACTTGCAGCTGGAACGCAGGTTGATCTACACCTCCGATCCCAAGTACCCGGGAGCCGTCTTGTCGGGGAATTTACCCGACCTGAAAATCCATATCAACGAGGATAAAATAATGGCATTGAACAATTGCTTTGGAAGGCTGACCGCCTCCGACGCTGAAACGACAAGCACTTTGCGGGCGGGGAAGGAGACGGGTTCCGCCGATTCGGACCAGCGTGGGAGTTTGCACAGCTCCGTGGTGAATTTGACGCAGAGCGTGGTGATAGTGGAACAGCACACCAAGGAAGTCCTTGTAGAGTCCCAGCTGCTTCTGGCAGAATTTCAGGTCAACTGCATGCAGTTGGGCGTCGAAAGCAACGGCCGCTATATCTCTGTCCTCAAGGTTTTCGGCACCAACGTCCATTTCGTGAAGCGGCCGTACGACGTGGAAGTGGCTCTCACGGTTCACGGCTTGCTGTTGGTGGACACCATGCAGACCTACGGCTCCGATTTTGACCTCTTGATGGCTTCTCACAAGAACCTCAGTTTTGATGTCCCCACCGGAAGCCTCCAAGACAGCCGAGCTCATTCCCCTCTCGGTGGACCCGGCGAGACCCGCGCCATGGACGAGATGGCCAAGAAAAACGCTGGGCCGCCAAACGAGTTGCCTGAAGGTTTCCACCCGGATGACGAGTCCTTAATTAAATTGGAATACCAGTTTGTGAGTGCGGAGTGCCCTTCCATGAACTTGGATAACACCCTCCAAGTGATCTCGGTGCAGATGAACAACCTGGATATCATTCTGAACCCAGAGACAATCGTAGAGTTGATCGGTTTCCTTCAAAAGTCCTTCCCAAAAGAGAAGGATGATTCCAGTCCTCTTCCGTTGATGACGGATGCTGAAAGGCGCTTCCACGATCAGGAAACCTTCCAGTCCACCTATGCGCAAAGCACAGAAGTCGCCGTGGATATCCATTGGTTGAACATCCTTCTCCTTAGGACCGTTACAGCAGCGAATGGAGAAAAACTTGGCCGTAAGATCGCAACAGCAAGCATTGGAGGCACCAAAGTCAATGTCTCCATGGGCGGCCGGCTGGATGTCAACGGGTCTCTGGGCTGCTTGCATCTCATGGACTTGACCCAGGACAACGCTAAAAACCAGTACGTCGTCAGTATTGGGAACACAGGAAGGTACGAGAATCTCATTCGCCAAGCAGGCTGCTTCAAACCTGCGTTTCTCCAGTTTGATGACGGAAGCCACCTCCCAGACGCCCTGAGCTTCACTTTCACGGAGCAGTCCAAAGAGGAGTGTTCGCTCCAGCTCAAGATGGCCTCTTTGCATTATAACCACTCTGCTAAGTTTTTGAAGGAGATCACCTTATCCATGGATGAGCTGGAGGAGAATTTCCGCAGCATGCTGAAAAGTGCAGCCACCAAAATGACCACCGTTCTCGCCACCAAGACGGCCGAATACAGCGAAATGGTTTCTCTGTTCGATACGGTGCCCCGGTCGAGGGAGGGCGAAGAGGAGGGCGAAGGGGATGAATTTATCCCGGCACGTTCCAAAACAGAACCTATTAAACTTATTTTAAACGTGAACATCGAGTCCCCGGTTGTATCCGTACCTCGCAAGCCAGGAAGCCCTGAGTTGCTGGTTGGGCATCTAGGGCAAATCTCCATCCAGAATTTTGTGGCCAGAGAAGACAGCCAGAGGAACGACAGGCTTCAGGTCGAAATCAGAGATATCCGCATGTATTCTCTAAACAGCAGCCATTTAGTGGGCAAGAAGGAAGCTGGTTCGGAAGGATCCCATCCGTCGCATCCTCCGTCAAGAAGTGGCAGCACCAGCAGCAGCCAGGACGAGACGCAGTTCACTCGTCACGATTTCTTTGAATCCTTACATAAAGGCCACGGTAAGTTCCTCAAGATTCTGTTTCATACATGACCTGTCAAAATTACAGATTTGTCGGTACCCATAACCACAGGGGCTTTTCGTATTTAAGAGATACCAGAGGGGTTTCTGTGTGTGTGTGTGTGTGTGTGTGTATGTACAGTGGTGCCTCGCTTAACGAGCGCCCCGTTTAACAACGAATCCGCATAGCAATTTGTTTTTTGCGATCGCAAAAGCGATCACATTGTGATGTTTCTAATGGCAAAAAATTGCTTTGCGATGATCGGTAAGCTGTTTCGCTTACCAACTTTCGCATAGCGATGTTTTAAAAACAGCTGATCGGCAGTTCCAAAATGGCCGCCGGAAAAACAATGGCCGCCCACTGTGTTTTTGCGCCCATTCCTCCCTTACCGGGCAGCGAAAATGGCGGCCGTATGGAGGATTTTCGCATAACGGTGAGTTTTTTGCCCATAGGAACGCATTAAACCGGTTTTAATGCATTCCTGTGGGCTTTTTTATTTCGCATAGCGACGAATCTGGATAGCGACGATTTTTCCCGAACGGATTATCGCCGCTATGCGGGGCACCACTTGTATATGTATATGTATATATGTGTTGTGGCCTCTTGAAGTTACTGTAATAACAGCAATATGTGTACAGAAACAAACAACTGAGTTTGTTGTGTATAATCCCACTCCCAGACATGGGTTAAATTCTGGACAAACTTCATGCATCTGTTGAAGGAGCATGAAAGCAGATCCTGTCATAAACGTGTGAGACTTCAAGGTGCCACAGAATTAATTTTTTTTCCTGCCAAGGCGTGATCGCCGTGTTCCTCTGTTGTTGCAGTGAGCAATCCACCACCGTCCAACTGAAGGCGTCTTGTGGGACCTTAATTTGTTCTGCATAATTTTTTGTTGGAAAACAACCCACTTTGTGAGATGCATGAAGAATCACTTGACCAGGAAGATATTTCTGTACATAAGCCAGTGGGGGAGTGTGGAACATGACATTCAATAGCAGTGTAAAAGTTGCAGCATGGGAGTGACAGTAATTTGGGAGGTGGCAGATGCGTCCAGGTGTAGATAAGCAGATGGACAGGAAATGTGGGTTTTTTTCAGGCCCAATATAAGAGAAAAGCTCTTGGCTTCGACAGCGTGTCAAGGCAGCACTCCAGCTATGTCACAGAGTGGGCTGCAGTACAGGAGCCTTATGCCAAATAAAACTTTTAATGGGTCACTGGATTTTGTCCTTCTCGACTGTGTTTTGAATTTTTTTTCTGAAGCCAACTAACACGGCTATCCCTTTCAGCCCTGTTCCATACAAAGGCGGTATGAGATGCTTATTTCAAGGAAGGTGAAAAAATCTTTTCAGTTGAGCTGCGATGGCTGTTTTTTATTACCTCCTAGTTGGAGCACAAATGAAAATCCCACTTAGGGGAACTTGTCTCCTTAAAGCAGAATGCACAGCAAACAGCTTGGCATTGACCCTGTTGAGTACCTCTGGTGACACACACTCTTAATTTAAATAACGCAAACCTCCAGCAGGTTGTACACTCAGAATAAGTAGGTCTGGAAACAGAAGATGATTTACATTGTGGATTGGTGAAATGGACCTGGCTTGGTCTTATTTCTACTTCCACGCTTGATGGTAAAGTATAGTCTGTTTTTTTTATCACTGTGTTAATAATCACAGCTCACCTGCATCTCCTTAATTTCAGCTTTCCACATTTTAAATAATGCTACCATCCAGTTTGAACTGGAGAAGATTCCAGCAGAGAGCAGTTCAGAGTTGGCGTTCTGCACGAATGAGGATATTGAGATTTCAAGCCTGATGCGGATTGAGGGGAAATTTGTTACCCCTCTGCAGGTAGAATAAACAATTGTGTTCCATTGAGTCAGGTTAAACAGTCTGTCTGCAAGCCCCCTGGAAAACAATGCAGTGATAACTAGAAGCCAGGTTGTGTTCCATTGAGTCATTTAAACAGTCTCTCTGTAAGCCCCTCGAAAACACTGCAGTGATAACTAGAAGCCAGTGTGCTAGACCTTTTGCTTAGCGTAGTACCTTTCAGCTAGAGTAGGCCATTGAATCAGTGGTGCTAGACCTTTTGCTTAGCATAGTACATTTCAGCTAGAGTAGGCCATTGAATCAGTGGAACTTAGGAAGGAGTTGACTCATCAAATTCCTACTGATGTAATTGGCCTACTGTAATTTCCACTTAACTGTGCTAAGCAACAGGATCTCGGCCAATGTTTCAGACCCTACTTCATTTTGACTTGTTCTGCTAAGATTCTCAGTGGCCCATGCCCTCATGTAGAATGAAATGGAGAGAGTCTCTCTCTGTCTCTCTCTCCTTGCTCTTCATTCTGGCTCTTCTTCAACTATGATCTAGTGGCATTCATTCCCTAAAATTATCTAAAACTGTTTTCTTTTCTGTTAGTAAAGAAATAATAATATGAAAGGGGGGGCTGAATTTTGGGTTCTTTTCTCCCCATCCTGTTTACCTGTACCTTTTTACCTTGTACGTCATGTCTTTTAGATTGTAAAGACAGCTTTGGCCTGAATTTTGGGTTGTTGTTTTCCCCCCATCCTGTTTACCTGTATCTTTTTACCTTGCACGTCATGTCTTTTAGATTGTAAGGACAACTTTGCCCAAGCCTTTTTTTTTTTACTTAACATAGTATAGGCCAGCCAACTATTCTGATTCTTGGCTCAGGAATAGGAAGAGGCAATCTCTAGAAACAAATAATGTAGCAGCCACACGGTGGGAATATACAGAAAGAAAGAAATGTCATGTATCTTTGTTTTTCTTAAACGCAGGTGGTTTTGGCCAAACACGTATATGAGCAGGTTTTGCAAACCCTTGACAACTTAGTCTGCAATGAGGATTTAACGAGTCCACCATCCAGCTTTCCGTCCTCCACGTATCCTAGCTCCGGTTCTCCTTCAGTGTCGCTCTGTAGCACGAGCGCAGACTTCTCTCTCGACAGGAAGGAAAATGGGCTCTTTAGTCATTCCAGCTTTGGTACGGCTGCCAGCAAATTTGTGCCCGTCAAGGAAGCCGTGCGCCCTTTTACTCAAGTGCAAGCTACGTTTCACATTTCCGAGCTTCAGGTTCAGCTCAGCGGCGACCTGACGCTCGGAGCGCAAGGCTTGGTCAGCCTAAAATTTCAAGACTTCGACATTGAGTTTGCTAAGGATCACCCTCAGACCTTATCCATTCAAATTGCCTTAGGTTCTTTGCTGATGGAAGATCTTTTGGAAAAGAACCCGGACTCTCAGTATAAAAACCTCATGGTGTCACGCGGGGCACCCAAACCTTCCACCCTGGCGCATAAGGAGTACCTTTCCCAGTCTTGCCCATCGGTGTCTAACGTGGAGTATCCGGAAATGCCCCGTTCCCTTCCTTCTCACATGGAGGAAGCGCCAAACGTCTTCCAGTTTTATCAGCGGCCGACTTGTGTCTCTCACAAAAAGCACAAAGAGGACGAAGACTCGGACTATCCGTTGACTCCACCGCCGTCTCCCACGGCAGAGACGTCCGCCACCTCTTGCGGGAAGAGCGACTTTGACGATTCCTTGGTTCACATCAACATATTGCTGGTGGACAAGAAGCATCCAGAGTTTGGCTCCCGCTACGGCAAAATCGGCCGCAGCATCGATGTGGACTTCAACTGCCTAGACGTTTTGATAACTCTGCAGACGTGGGTGGTGATCCTGGATTTCTTTGGGATCGGATCGACCGCGGAGAATCACAGCATGACGTTGCCGCCGGAAGACGTGTCGCACGCAGTGAGGTCGGACGCGAGCGCCTTCTCATCCGCGGATGCCCAAGATTCAGTGAGTTCCAAAGTGGATCTGAAGGTAGGAAAAAGACAGACGGGTTTGCTTCCCAAGTTATTTCTGTTGGTGTTGATGATCCCCATTCCGTCCCTCCGTCTGGCCGGTACTCCCAACAGGTGGTTTCTGTTATCTTTTAAAGAAGTGAAGAAACCGGGAACTGTTCCTGCTGTTTTTCTTCTCCGGAGTAGATCAGAAGGTGAGCAAAAACGATCCGCTAAGCCACTGCACCCAACTGTGGGTTCCCCAGGCGTTCTTGGACTACAACTCCTAGAAATTATAGTGCAGCTAGTGACAAAGGCTTCTGGGAGTTGTAGTCCCAGAACGCCTGGGGACCCAAGGTCGGGAACCACATCTCCCTCTCTGCTTCTCAGAGGGCTCAAATTAGAGGATTTGACTTAGAGGATTTGGCTTTTGCACAGCTGTTTAGGAGAAAGAACTGCTTTTTCTTTCTTTCTTCAGTTTATATAAGAAGATATTGCCTCTTTCTAACTCTCCTGTGCCATCTATGGAATTCGGGGAAGCATACAAAGATTTTGCTACTAAACAAAGTTGCTATATATGGACCTCTGTGCTCCTTACTGCCTCTTACCACTACGTTAGTTGTCGTCTTCTCCTTATAGTTTCAGACGCGTTCAGATACCTAAAATAATAAAGTTATGGAGGATAGTTGATACTTGGAGAATTTGAATGCCATTTTGATTTCAGGCCTCATGTCAAACTGTGCATTTAAAGAAAAATCTATGGCTTGGCTTGGTTTGGTCTCTTAGCTGCCAAATGACGATATTTGATTGACGGATCAACCGTCCAGAAATCGGAAAGCCATGCCTTCATACGTTTTTGCAAACCATGATTTGTGTATGACTCAGTATCTGAATTCACAAGCTGCTGCAACGGCAGCTGTTTTGTCTGCTGGGCAGAAACATAGAGGACTGTTGACCAAACGGGAAATGGTTTCATATCACTTCCTAATTCCCCCCTTCTTCTCTTATTCCCCTATAGGGTATGTCTGCAAAAACGTCTTTAGAATCCAAATAGTCGATTTGCATTACTGTAAAGGGGGGAAAAAAAACCCTGCTCCTGTCTGTGTTCCCAATCTCCTTTTTCCCCCTGATTATCTAGGTCCATTCCTTGTCTTTAGTTCTGAATAAAGCAACCAATGAACTGGCGAAGGCCAACGTGTCGAAGCTCGTTACACACGTGGAGATGATTGGTGAGTCTGAGCTGCATAGAATTGCCTCTGCTTCCAACATATCCTAATCACCTCTGGCTTTTCTAAATGCTCATGTGATTTGTCCTGTCAACTGTCTGAAAGGTCAACGTAGCAGCTGTTTGTTTTCCAAGACATATTAGTATAGTACAGTGGTGCCTCGCTTTACGATGAAGCCGCATTACGACGATCTTTTTGCGATCGCAATTGTGATCCCAAAACGATGGTCTGAATGGTTTTTTTCGCTTCGGGAACAGATTCTTCGCAAAACGACAAAAGCTACCATTTCTTTCCCCTTTTGTTCTCTCCTTGGGTACTAAATCTACGTAAGGACACAAGGTAGAATTAACTAATGGTGGGTTGCTGCAGAGGAAATGAAGAATGTCTTGTAAGGAAAGCTGAACATCTCGTCAGCTGGAGAAACAAAGGGAGCAGATAAGGGTTTGTGAAAACCAAGGTTACATCTTTGTCACTGTGGTTCGTTCAATAATTGATCAACATTTGATTAGTACAGTACTTAAACCTTAAAATACGTTTCAACTGATCTTTAGCTGCCACTGCTTGCTTGTTATTTCATCCCAGATGACAAGTGTTTTGTCGTAGCTGAGCAGAAAATTTTCTTTGTTATACCTAAAATGTTTTACATTTTTTTAAATTGTAGTTTAGAAAGAAATAGATCTAAAGTGATTAAAAAAAACTTAGCCAAGTTCTTGTGTTACTTTTGAAAAAAAAACAGGCCTCCTCTTATCAAGACAAAGCATAAACTCCATTAAATATTTTCTAAGTTACTACTTTTTCATCAGCATCCTGATTTCCTCCTCTGAACAGGAGGGAGTTTAGAGTCACACCATGATGACTATAGGACAGAGTGATCTTTCAGATTTAATCCTAATTTCCCAGACCAGAACACTGGCCCATCCCCAGATCCTAAGAGGGTTGGTAGTAGCCATGCCATCTTCTTAATGAGTGTCTGAATGAACTGTGTGTATCCCCTGTAGAAGGAGATCTGGCCCTTCATGGAAGCATTGGGAGCTTGTCCTTAAGTGACCTCACTTCGCACGGAGAGCTTTACAGAGAACGCTTCGTCACCAGCGGCAAAGAGGCACTCATCTTTCAAGTCTACAAGTAGGTGATGGAGGGGTCTGGCCATTTTGCTAAACCACTGCAGCGTTACCGGGTCTCTAACAATGCTTCTAAAGCATCTACAGTGGACCCTTGACTTACAGAATTAATCCGTATTGGAACGGTGGCTGCAGGTCAAAAAGTCTGTAGGTCAAGTCTCCATTGACCTACAGTGCATTGAAAACCAATTAATCCCGTAACAGGCTGTTTTTGTTCCATTTTGATTTTTTTCTGGTCTGTAAGTCAATTCTCAGGCTGCAAGTCAAACCTAAATTTTGCGGCCAGAGAAGTCTGTAACTCAGAAAGTCTGTAAGTCAAGCCATCTGTAAGTCAAGGGTCCACTGTACTTTAAAAGGCAAAGAGAATTGAACACAAAATGCGTACCTATAGATGCTTTCAGCCTGGAGCAGTGTGGTCCATTTCCTTGTGTAAGAATCCAGACTCTTTCTCTTTTCTTGCTTTGCAAAGGTAGAACACGTCAAAGGAGAGAACAGGACAGTTTTTTGTGTCATCCTAGTGCATCAATATGGCTGCTCTGAGCTCACTTGGAGACACCCTTTAGTCTATTCTGCCAATATCAGAAACTTGCTTTACGAGACTGTGATCTGGGGGCCTTCCATTTGGCTTTTGAATGCTCAGATCTTGGGAAGCCCATTTGGTTCTTCCCTGATGATGTTCTGGTTAAGGTTGAACACTTTAGTGGTTAGGTAAGACAAGACTCTGATCTCAGGATGTAGAAAGTATGATACCCACCTTGTTCCAAATTGAAAGCCCAACCTGTTTCGGCTTGGCCTTTTCGGCCCTCTTCGAGGGTGTGAATATAGTAGTTTCATCACTTGTTCAAAAAGGGCTGGACTCAGATGTAGTGAACAAATAGTCTTTCTAAACGGAGCTAAGAAAAGTGCAATATTCAGGCCACTGAGGAAGGCTGAAAAGGAAAAGCCGAAACAGTTCGGGCTTTTAATTTGGAATAAAGTGCATACTATGATTTTTACATCCTGGGACTAGAGCCTCTTCTTGCTAACAGCTTTGGTGTATGTAACGGTTCCTTTTTTGTTACTGTAAAAAGTTGGTTGCTAAGATCTCTAGCCTGTTCGATGTTTGCATTCCTGCAGCAGCTTTCTTCTTTTTTATGTTTTATCTCTTCCTGGGTCACCGTATTTTACTGGCAGATGTATTTCGGTTGCTTTGGGTCCCATTTTGAGCTCCCTCGCATTTAGCAATCCTAACATAATCCTCACATTCATGAATGCAACCAAGTCATCCCCATTTGCAAGAGAGCTTATTCTCTGGCCAGAAGCACAGGATGTGAGAGAGAGAGAGAGAGAGCCCCCTTTTTCTTTCTGTGCCTGGAGAAATGGGAGTTCACTCTGGGATGTCAGCGTGACCTTCGAAGAACGGGATTAATAAAACGTCTGCACTGGGAGTGGACAGGAGAAGTAAGAGCATGTCTGGGTGCCTTTGTTTTCCACCAGGTTTGGACGGCCGGACCCTTTGCTTCAGAGGGATTGTGACATGCGAGTCAGCCTGCGTATGGCTTCGGTGCAGTACGTCCACACTCAGCGCTTCCAGGCGGAGCTGGTATCTTTCATCCAGCATTTCACTCAACTTCAGGACGTCTTGGGTCGCCAGAGAGCCGCCATTGAGGGACAGATGGTATGCTTTATGGGGGGGAAGAGAAGACCAAGTGTGGGCCTTATGCAGTTCCAAGGACGTTTGGTAGCTGCTCTACTACCTTGACCCAACACTGGGAGGCAGTGGAAGACAGGAGGGCCTGGCATGCTCTGGTCCATGAGGTCATGAAGAGTCGGACACGACTAAACGACTAAACAACAACAACTATTCCCCCAGTGCCACACACACATGTAAAAAAAATTTAAACAGTGGAAGGAAATTTCAACAACAACTATTTCCCCAGTGCCACACACACACGCATGTTAAAAAAAAAAATTTAAACAGTGGAAGGAAATTTTATACTCCGTCTTTCATGTAGGGTGGGAAAGATTTCTGCATGTCATGAAGAAAACTCAGTTTCCATTAGTGTAGTCAAATGAGTAAGCATAGATTAAGTGCAGTACAGGGATCTATAATTCGTTAGACGGATTTGGAACAAAACGCACAACACTTTGATGCCTTAATTGGAATATTTCCCAGGATGGTTAGGTTTGTGGGGGAAGCCTTCCTTTGCAGTACAGGATCCACATTGTGTTGGGCGCGATTGTGGACTACGCCACTGGTATCTGTACTATTTCGTTCATGCCAAACGAGGCTGAGGTGTATGTCAATATTTACTTGGCCGTGTTGGATGGAGAGGCATAACAAATCGGCAGTTTGGTAAAAATAACCATGGGATTTCAAGATGTCTATTATTGGGGTTTTTTAGTTAGTTTGTTTTTTTTTTGAGGCTGGTTCTTTCTTCCCTGAGGTGAGAGACCAAGCCCAGCGAGCCGCCAGAATCCTCTTGGACATCGAAGCGGGCGCTCCAGTCCTGCTCATTCCCGAAAGCTTCAGATCCGTCCATCTTATCGTAGCCAATCTTGGGAAGCTGAAAGTGAAGAACCGCTTTCTTTTTTCAGGCGCCTCGGGCACCTTCTCGCTGAAAGATAAGGTAAGTCTCATATTTCTCCTCGCTCCTCGTTCTCCTATGGCTTTAAGCGTTGTGGCTCTGAGCAAACGGTAAAGATTACCGCTGTTTGTATTTTAACGGATCTGTTTCTCTTCCTCCCCTCCCTTGAGGATTCCATTTTGCGAGGCAATGCCTTCAAGGATCAAATTTTATGCGAGGTACTTCCCTCCCCCCACCTACCCTTTTCCTTGTAGGAGAGGCTATTTGTTTGTGCTGAGAAAGCTTTTGGAAGCCAAGCACTCTCCAGGCGACATTCAAAATGGCATGCCTTTCGAAAACTCTGCCTCTTGGTTCCTGTCCCTGTTTTATTGCTTTATCTGTAGAGTTCCATAAGAGCTGATTTGGAATGCAGTTTGCAGTGCTCTCCTGCTGTGTCTTTGGGGTTTTCTTTACAAGCTCCCGACAGAGTGAATGCTCATACCCAGAGGAGCGCATGCCTCTCTCTGCTCCACATTTTCTCTTTCTTGAAACTTTTCCAAGCTTGTATGTACATCCTTGTGCACAGCAATGCATAGTGAGAATTGATCAGAAAACAAATAGCATAAGAAGTTAAAAGCAACATTTCTGCTGGCACTCCAGGGCTCTAGATGGGCTAAATTTCACACTCAACTTGTGGCATAATGACTTGTTCATAGTATGGGATATCAGGTCTCCGCTTATTTTCCCCCCTGTGCCCTCTTACTTAAGAGGCGTGAGGAATTGTGTGACTCCTCCACACTTCTTGATTGCAGAAGGATATCGTACAGAAGAAGGTAAGTATGAAAGGTTACCTACTGAGAACAGATATTTGATGCAGACTGCAGAAGGAATCTCCTGCTAAAGTTGCTTTTTGAAAGGAAGAATGGGTTCCCCAAAAAGGAATGCAATTGGATCAAAAAGGGTGTCTCTTTCCTGAGAATGTTCTACACAGTGGTAGTCATTTTATATGCCCTTGGGCTCACTTTACTGTTACAAAAAGTAATAAGATGTTTTCTGGTTGTTGTGGGATTTTCGGGCTTCTTGGCTTACAAAAAGTAATAAGATGTTTTCTGTTCTGGGGACATAGCTTACTCAGGGGCCTTTGTGGTTTGCCTGAGTAACAGTCCTTAATTTTTGTTTGCTTCCCTTCTTTCTTGCTCTTTTAGCAAGATTCTGCTCCGCTTAGCAAAGATCTGAGCAAAGATGTTTTCTCTTCTGGGGACATGGCTTTGTGGTCTGCCTGAGGAACAGTCCTTAATTTTGGTTTCCTCCCCTTCTTCCTTGCTCTTTTAGCAAGATTCTGCTCCGCTTTCCTCCCCTCTGGGAACGCCAAAGCACAACATGAGGAGAACGCCGAGCGATGAGTCCAAAGTTACACCAACCTCCTCAGAAGGGCTCTTTATGAATTTGTCTTCCTCTGGACCCCATCTCACCAGGGAGAAAAGTGATCCGGCAACATCTGCTGGGACTAAACCACCAAGATTGTCTGCTTCAGTAGCCCCAGAACAGGCGGGTAAGGTGGAGAGGACCATACCAAGACTATTAACCGTGTGTGTTCTGTCCCAATTTGACGCCGTTATTTTTATTTATTCATTTGAATATTTATATGAATGATGGCACTTTTATCTCGTAGCCAGTGGTGTGTTATAGGTGGTAAGGCCATTTAAAAAATAAAATAAAATGGCTGTATCTGAGTAATCCAGATTGTTTTGTCTTTTTTATCCTTGAACAGACATTGCTTCGTATTAGTCTATGGAGTGTGTCACTCCAGGTTCAATGGGAGTGCCTTTTGATGAGAAATCTTTGCATTTCTTTCTTTCTTTGTTTAAACTATTTATATCTCACATTTTTCATGAAAAAGGATCTGCAGCAGGTTGCAGTTTTAAAAACACATAGTATTAGGAGCCAAACACATTTTTTTACAGTATGCATCAAATATGTACTGCAGATTTTTTTTTAGTAAATAAGAGTAAACATGATTTATTTTGTACTTGATCATGATCTGGTATGCATCAGAACGAAATACTTTATGTATAGAAGAGCCTTTCTCCAGAGCATTGTTGGAAAACTGAATATCGTGGATTGATCTCTTGTAGAGGAGCAGAACTGCCTGCTAGACTGCATTGTGGTTGATCTGCAGGACATGGATATTTTTGCTGCTGAAAGGTACTCGAGAGAATATTCAAAGACTGCAGAAGAGGCCAGCACAGATCTGATCTTCCCTTCCTTTATGGTCAGGCAGACTGGAGGGAGCCTCCTGACGGAGCCCTTCAGACTGAAGCTGCAAGTGGAAAGAAACTTGGACAAGTGAGTGGTCTCGCTCTGCGTACTATTACAGTATCAGCATTGCCCTCTGTCTCCAGATGTTAAATCCCCTTTACTGATGGCTGGGGGTGTACTGTTACAGTATCAGTATCATTGCCCTCTGTCTCCGGATGTTAAATCCCCTTTACTGATGGCTGGGAGGTGGTTTTGTTGCTTTTAGTCAATGAATTGTCCTCTAAAACGCACAAGCATACATGAAAACGCAACCAAGGGTTCAAGTTGCAGGAAGCCAAATTTCGGCTGAATATCGGCCGCCTAGAGTGGTCATATTGACCAGATAGGCGGGATATACAGTAAATAAAATAAATAAATACATGTGTTGTAATGAATGAAATGAAATGAAATGAATGAATGAATATCGGGGAAAAACTTCCTAACTGTTAGAGCAGTACAAAGATGGAATCTGTGACCTAGGGGGGTGGCGAGCCCTCCGACGCTGGAGGCCTTCAAGGGAAATTTAGACAACCTCTTGGCCAAATAAGCCTTTGATTTCTTTTCCTGTCTCGAGCAGGAGGTTGGACACGAGGACCTTATAGGTGTCTTCCAGCTTTCTGATTCTATGAAAAAATACATTGAATTCATGAACAAGGGACCTCCCCGTAGGGTGTGCTACGTGGCTGGCTGCTGTGCGAACCGTCACACAGCAGACCTCAAAGGCATGGGGCACAGCCAGGAGGGCATCTCCAGAATAACCTTAAAGACTAGATGCGCTTGTTGGAAAGGACACGCTCTCTTTGGTAGTTTTGGTTGTTTAAGCCGATTCTTTGGGATCTTTGTGTTTTGCAGGGAGATAAGCCATCATGTCCCCGATATATCGGTCCGCGGCATTGTGTCGTCCGTCCATTGCTCTCTGGATCTGAGCAAATATAAGCTGATTCGGGGACTTCTGGAGAATAATCTAGGGGAGCCAATAGAAGAATTCATGCGGCCGTACGACTTGCAGGACCCCAGAATACACGTGAGAAATTCTTTTTATTTTGCACTTGAAAAATCTGTGCTGAAGGATCGGAGTTCATTGTGTGAAGGCACAGCGATGCCGGAGAAACAGATGGAGTGAAAATGTTGTTCAACCGTTAAGGTTCAGAAAGACTTCCTGTATCTCCTTCAAATCACCCAGAGATCCACCAGCAGAACCGGATCTCCCCCTGCCGCCCACCTTTATAAGACACATAGAAATCCGTAGGTTGGAAGCCATCACTCTATTCCTTTCTCCTTTCAGACTGTGTTGAGTGGAGAAGTGTACACCTGCATGTCTTTCCTGATTGACATGGTCAACGTAAGTCTGGAATTGACCGATCCTCAGGGGAAACATGGCTCCTTAGCTAGGTATGTTTACCTGTTAGTCTCTCTTTTGTGTGTGTGGCTAAATCCTGGGCCCTTTTCTGGTTTCTATCTGTCTCCATCTGAAAAGGCAAGAGATGAGTCAAGCAGGAAAAGAGAAGGGATACACGACATGCCTGGGGACAAGTGTTGTTTTGCAGGTGGTATCAGACCCTTGTTAGCTCTTGGCATCAATACCAAAGGGGAAGAATGCTTGGAGGTGTAGCCTTAACAGCATCGGGAGAGCTGTTCTTTTCTCACTCCTGCTTTAAGTGAGTTCCCAGCTTGAAACGATGCTATCAAGGGAATAAAGAAGAGAGCAGCATGGTTTCCGAAAGGCTCAAGCATGACACACCATGATGCCTTTTCAGAAGGCTCTAATGAGTAGAGTCTAGTTCCCAGCAATATCATTTCAGTTTCATGCCGTTGTTGAGTCTTGGGCAGCCTAGGAAAGGGAGGGTGGGCTGAGCTGAGCTGCCCAGGTGGAGTTCTATCGGCAGTAGGTGACGAAGCAGAATCAGTACAGCTGATGGCATTTGCTCACTGTCTAGTATGCACTGTTTTGAGTCAGACTTATTACCTCTGTGTTTGGAGCATATTTTTGTCGGTATGCCGTAATGTTCTGATTCTGATTTGCTCGTGCTGCTGATCTTAAGGTAAAGTCATAATCCCATCCACTTGTACCCCTTCTCCCATTCCTTTGAGTTTAGAAATAGAGATGGGCACCAACCTTGGTTCGGAGGTTCGTGCCAGTTCGTCTGCCTGGCACCACAGGTGCTGCATGCTTCCCCTTCCCTGCCTCCCCAGTCAATGACCCACTCAGCGGTCGGGAGTGCGCTTCCTCCTCTTCGCCTGTTCGACCATTCCTGGCAGGAGCACGGGTTTGCCTGTCCCGCCTGCTTGTCTGAGTGGGCGATCAGCCAAGGAGGTGGAGCAGGGAAGCCCAGGCTCCTGCCAGAGACCAGCTGAACAGCCAAAGAGGAGAAGGAGCGGAAACTCACACCGACTAGCGAGTGGGGAATCCAGCCAGCGAGACCTGGGAAAGGAACCTGAGGTGCTGTGCTTCCAACCGTCACGAACCTCCGAACCAAGTTTCGTGCCCATCTCTATTTAAGAACTTTAAGAATGGTAACTTTCTGAAATATTAATTGTGTTTTAACCTTCTTTTTCCTTGCCTCCCATTTCTTTAGGTTTGACTTCAAGAAGTCGAAGCTGCTCTTTGAGAGTTTTTCAAACCAGACCAAATCCATCAATTTGGTCTCGCACTCCATGATGGCATTTGACACGCGCTATGCTGGGCAAAAAGTGTCTGGGGGAATGCCGAACGTCTTCAATTGTATCTTCCAGCCATCAAAGAACAGCAGCTCCCAAGGGGCCATACAGATTGAACTCCATTACAGGTAGGGGAGACTGAAACCTCACTGGCTGGAGGGGCAGGAAGACAATTAATAACCACATTTCCCCGAAAATAAGACCAGGTCTTCTATTAATTTTTGCTCGAAAAAACGCATTCGGGCTTATTGTCGGGATGTTTTATTTTTTTCATGTACAACCATCTACATTTATTCAAATGCAATTATGTTATCCCCTTCTGGTTGCTGCACAAGGGTGGAGGGTGGGGTTTCACTGAACTGGGGCTTATTTTTGGGGCAGGGCTTCTATGACAAGCATCCTGAAAAATCATGCTAGGGCTTATTTTCAGGTTAGGTTTTATTTTTGGGGAAACCAGGGATATGCCCAACTGGTTCTAAGGTAGGTCTTTGTTGCCCTTTCAGTATTGAGGGAACAGATTGTGCACATTTTGTTTTTGTTTAACTGGTAGCGGTCTTGCCAGTTTCTGTGTCGTGGGGAGGCTCATGACACCCCCCCCCAAAAAAAGAAGTTATCTGCCCTGGGTTTCTGGGGTAGCCACCTTTGTCAGATAAGATTTCATGGTTTCCATAGTAGCAGTGGCTCTTTTTTCTAGTATAGTGGCTTGCAAAAAACAAAATCTGTGTGGCTTCAGAAATTTCCATGGGATGTGAGGAGTTTCCTACCCCTAACCCCCCAAAAATCTCAATATTATTTCAAAGTATCAGACTGTAAAAAAAGTTTAGTTTGATTAAAAAACAGCAACCTTCTTAGCTCACTTTCCTCCTCCTTAGAGCGACCAAGGATTCGTCCTTCTTCACTGTTGTCTTGAACAACCTCCGTGTGTTTCTCATCTTCGACTGGCTGATGCTCGTTCACGGCTTCCTTCAGACGCCCAGCGAAACGAAGAAACAGCCCGGCGCCACGCCTTCCCGGCAGCGCAACGCCAGCAGTGAAGCGGCCGTCGTCCCGAAAGCCGTAGGGTGCGGAATCGTGACCAAGCGTTCTTCTCTTCAGATCTCTGCGGAAAAACAGTTGGAAGTCAAGATCAACGTGACGGGTGAGGGATGTACGGGGTGACCGAAACAGGGGATGGAGGGAGGGATGAACGAACGAACGAGTAAGGATGCGTAGCTCATGAGAAGGAAGGAGGGACTGGAGAACAGAGAGATCAAGGAATTGTCAGACAAGACATAAACGAGTTAGACCCAGTTTTAGCCCCAGCTGGGCCGGGCCCATGAGTGACTGGAAAAGACCAAAGTGAAATGGATTCAATCAGTTGCTAAAAGCCATCAGAAGGAGGGTAACCCACATCTGTGTATTCGATACCTGGAAGACCCTAAAGAAGGTCACCCTAAGTCAGAATTGATGTGATAGCACGTGATTATTACCTATCGGGTTCCCAATGTGCTGTAATGCAGTGGTTCCCCAACCTTAGGCCTCCAGATGTTCTTGGACTTCAATTCCCAGAAATCCTGGCCAGCAGAGGTGATGGTGAAGGCTTCTGGGAGTTGTAGTCCAAGAACATCTGGAGGCCCAAGGTTGGGGACCACTGGGGTAGAGAGTACTTTCCTCCTTCCTTTCCGAAGGTGCTCCAGGACCGGGTGGTTTGCCCTAGGCCGCACAGGCTGGCTTTTCTCCTACAGTGTCTCGTGGGGTATCAAGCGCCCAGCCTCTGGCTCCTCACCCAAGATGAGTCACTCACTGAGCTCTCCAGCCAGTTCTGAAAACAGTCGCTAACTTAATTTGAATCGTTCCCACGGTTAGCACTGCTGCTTTGTGTTCCTCCAGATACGGAGTTCGTGGTGGTGGAAGACATGTCCTGCTTGGATACCAGCGCCATTATTTTGAAAGGGACCACCGTCCTCACGTACAAACCGAAACTGGTGGATCACCCTTTCTCGGGCAGTTTGTCGGGCATCGAGGTAAGGATGCCCTGCGACTGCAGACGGTTCACTTCTTCTTCCTTGTAGGTGAACTGGGAAGCTATTGCGGTGAATGTGGGATTGAATGATTCTTTCTGAAAATCTGACTTGTGGATAATAGATTCATGCACTGGGCTTTCAGAGAGAGTTGTGGGGAGGAGCTTCTGGAGCAATCATCACAAGGGGAACTGTCAAGGTTAAATAGCACATGCTTGGGATCATTCTCATGGTTCAATAACTCAGGATTTCAGCAACCCAAATATAGACTGCTTGGGCAGAAAAAAACCAACAACCCAGCTCCGTATTCCAATTAGAAAACAGACTTAATTAGGATGTTCTTTGTGAGGCCCCGTGAGCTGTGCTGTCACAGTGGCTTGGTAGGAAGACTTTAGCTGGAACGTAGATAAACATTGGCCTGTTTCCACGGTTCCTTGTCACAAACCTCTCTTTAATTTAGTCAGTGCATGATGCAAATAGACCCAAGAAAATGCTGGCCGCCTTTGGTCTTCTGGGGCCGTGGTCCGGTCATCCTGATCCAGTTATCTACCTGTCTCCTTTTAACACCCCTCCACGATTCTAAAAGTCGACACTTCCTGGTTGCGTTATAGAATCTAGCAGGATAACATCTGGTGGAGTCCTACACCCAAATGAAAAGTCTGGTCACCCTCCAGTTGTTCCCCTGTGCCTTCCTTCTCTCTCTCTCTCTCTCTCTCTCTCTCTCTGGATAAGGGTGAGCCCCAGTGGTTGTGCCTGAATTCTGTTCCCTTCCCATAGGTTTTTTCATGCCGGCTGGGAAACGAGCAGGAGACAGCCCTCTCCATCATCGACCCCGCCCTCATTCAGGTGGAGCTGGCGGGCAGCTCTTCATACCCGCGGGGTTCCGGGTTATTGGATGCCTTCAACAGCGAAGACTTCCCACCTGTGCTGGAGGTAATGCCTCCCTCTGTCATCTCGGTTAGTGCTTGTCCAACTTGTGTAGGAGTTAAAAAGACTGTTTTTTAGAAAGAAAGGTTGATGAATATAAAATAGAGGTTGTGAGCTTCAAAATGGTCTCTTGGGGAGAGAAAGGATGATGTTTCTTTGGAACTCCCAGTACCAGTAATAGCAGTCCATGAAAGTAGCAAGCCCCTGATATGCATGTGGCTTAACTCTGCTGTGGTGGGTTTTTTTAATGCTTCCTTCTTTGTATACATAGTCTCTGATCTAATTTAAGTGTTTTTAGATGTGTTCATATAGGTTACATTTCAACCCATCTGTAATGCTTAGCGTCTCTTGTATAAGTTCAGGTATCATGTTGAACAAGATTGGTTTTAAAAAGAAAGTGGTTTAAGTAACCGTGGAAGCACACATTTCAATAGCTAGTTTTTCATGAGTCTTTTTGTATGTATATACTAGATCTTAGCATATTAAAGCTTGATTACTACAGAAAAACCCACCAAGGCCACATCTCTGATAGACAGCTGTCCAACCTCTGTTTAAAACCATCCCAAGAAGGGAGAAAGGCAGCTGCTTCTGAGATTCCAGTCCCAAACCCCGTTCTCTTTGGTGTTAATCTCCACGTTTTCTTCAGATCCAGTTACAAGCGCTGCACATCCGGCTGTCTTACAACGATGTCCAGTTGTTCCTGGCGATTGCAAAGTCCATTCCTGACCAGACCAGCAGTGCTGGGCCAGATCCTTCTTGCTCCGATGTCAGGGCCACACCTCCAGCTGCTTCATCTGGGTCATCTTGGTCCAATGAGGTCTCCGGAGTGTCCTCGGAGACCTTAGACGCACCCAGACACACTTTGGATCCCATTCTTGGTATGAACAGAATGGCTATACTCCTGTTGCTTCTTTTTTCTTGTTGCCTTAGCAGAGCTTGGGGGAAAAATTTACTTTTAGGTGCTAAGAGTTCCCTGGCAGCCCTTGCTTTAGTATTTGGTGCATTGAATTCTCTGAAAAGAACTTTTTAATGCCTCCTGGATGTACTCTGTTGCTGAGTTGATATGATTTAGCAAAGCCTTTTGCTTTTCCCAGTGGTCTGTTATGAGAGGGGTTATGCTTTTTGGAAGCCGGTGCAAGACAGTGCCAAGTGTCGTCTCGAAGAAGGGTCAGGCCCCCTTGGGTGTCAACACAGGCGGATCTCCCAGCCTGCACAAGAGAAAGCTGGAAATGGCAGAGCATTATGTTGTGGCCCTGCATCAACAAGACTCTGGCCCACATGGGCGGTTCTGTTTCAAAACCAGTGTTTCATTCACTTATAGTAGATAATGAGGTTGGGTACAGGGAGGCCCTCGCAATGTTATAACTCTTACCAGTCCCTTGCCAGCAAGACTGGCAGCAAGATGGCTGAGAGTAGCTGTCCATGACAGTAGGAGCGTGGCAGCAGGAGAACCTTGTCCACCCTTGTAGACGGTTGCTGTCAGTTCCACCAGGTCGTGTGAGATCATTTCCCCCTTTATGAAAAAAAAAGGTAGTCCAGTGAATTTTAATCGGCTGGGTTTAATCCCAGACTGGTGCTCTCCGGCGCCTGTGCCATTTTCCGCCACCCCCCCAAGACCTTAGCAGAATGTGTGTGGAATGTCAGGGTATGGAAGAAAACTACTTTTGGTTGAAAAACTTCCCCAGCCATCTAAGTTCCCTGAAACCATTTGTTGTTGGGAGGCGCAAGTTGAAAGAACGTTAGCTTTAATAAAAGACCCCTTTGGGATAACCTCTTGTGGCTGTCATGGGTTGCTCTTGTTAGAAAAGTAGCACTCTTTTGGCTTTGATTGTGAGATTTCTTTCGCTTCAGAGGTGCAGCTGGCCCGCTTGCAAGAACTGGGATTCAGCCTGGAGGACTGTCGGAAAGCTCTCCTGGAATGCCAAGGTGCAGTGATCTTTGTGTTAATTACACAATTAAAAAAAATAAGCTTCATTGTGTCCGGGGGGGGGGGAGGAAATGTTTCATCTTTTACAGCTGGACAGCATTGCCTGTTGGTCATTTGTATCCCTCTTTGCCTCCACCCAAACTCAGTATTGTTCATGCTGGATGTTTTATAAGCTGGATGTTGCCCGGTCCTCTACTTGGAAAGCTACGGATCCGCTCCTAAGCCGTTTACAGCCAGCATGGCTTAGTAGAGCAACCTTGGTTCCCTGTCTTTATCGGTCTCCTTTCTCTCAGCCGATTTTATATGCGTAGCCTGTGTAACTAAATCGTAAACCGCCCAGCAAGAGCTTTAAGCACTGCTGGGTGATGGTATAAGCGGCACACTTTGCTTTTATGGCTGGGAGGAAGAGACGTGCATGGCAGGAGGGCCAAATCTTGTTCTTGATTCTTGCAAACTCGTTTTTCTCTGAAAGACGGACCAAAAGGACGCGACCCATAAAATACGACAGAGTGGAGCCGAGAATTCATGACATGCTTGGCCTGTCCTTTTTGGCCACCTCCCATTTTCATGTGTGACAGGGTGGGCAAAATGGGTGGATTGTATGCACCCTCGGTTGCATCTCAGGGTGCAGTTGTTTAAATTCTAATGCTGGGGGAGGGGAATCAGTGCCTCCAGTGCAAACACACACACACACACACACAATGAAATAGTGCCCCCCCCAATAGTGGTGATTTTGCTTTAGGCAGGTGGCAGGTTGGTGGTGGTAGCTCAGTTCTCCCAGCCAGCCCCAAAATAAAACCCACATGTATGTCTCTCTCTCTGTGTGTGTTTTCTACTCTGGTGGTCTTTTTTGCCATTTCCAGATCTGATGCAACCAGTAGCAGCTGCTACTCTGAAAATGTGCCCCCCCGGGCTACCTGGGTGGGACACATTTCCCTGGGTATATAGTTGAAAAACAGGTGTGTCTTGGTTGTGTTTATTGTGATTGGTCCAAATGGAGTCAAAAGGTTATGGAGGATGTCATATATTTGTTTCGTTTGTGGTGTTGAGGTTTTTTTTCGTGTGTGTGTGTGTTTTTAACTGGACCAATGTGAAGGGACTGAAAATGTCTCTTAACAGTTAGCTACAAAAATAATGCCGCTACCCTCCCCCTTCCCCTTTCCCTGTTTGTGTCTCCAGGTCAGCTGAAGAAAGCAGCAAGCTGGTTGTTCAAGAACGCCGAACCTCTGAAACACATCCTTTCAGATTCAAGTGATCCGGATAACCAAGGGGGATTTGCTCTCCGATGGATCTCTGGGCTTGACATTAAAGCAGAAAGCATCTGCATTTGCTTTATTGATGACTGCATGGACTGTGACGTCCCGTTAGCTGAATTAACATTTTCACGTAAGTAATTCCCTCACTTGATGACTTTTTTCTCCACTTGGCACCTTTTATTTTATTTTATTTTGTCTTATTTGTAGGCAGCTGTTTCTCCCGATAAGGGGATGCAAAGTGGCTCATGATACTAAAAAGCATTAAAGCCACAGTAAAATGTACATTAAAAACAAAACTGATTAAAATACGTTGAATAATTAAAATGGGTAAAACATTTTAAAACTATCTTAACTTTAAAAAGGCATTCAGGGTCTCAGTCATGATTGTTAAAAGCCTGCCTGAAAAGGTGGGTTTTCAGCTGTTGTTTGAAGGATAAAAGGAAGGGGGCCCTCCGGACCTCCCAAGGGAGAGCATTCCATAATGGTGGGAGCCACCACAGAGAAGGCACTCTTTCGTGTCTCCATCAACCATGCCTGCATTGGCAATCGGACTGAGAGGAGGGCCTCCTTGATGATATTAAGCACAGAGAAGGCTCATAATGGGAGATATGGTCCTTAGGTAGCCTGGACCCCTGACCTTACTTATGCCATGTTTCTTTGGTACTGTTTGACTAATGCTCCCCTCTTCACACCCTGCTTTCCAAAATCCCATCTTTTTGTTCTCCCTTCTGATACCCCCAAGGAAGATAAAACATAAAAAGCCACTATTCTTTTGAGTCGCTCCACTTGTCTGATGCAAATGACCTCTTCCTTTATTTGCCACTGATTAAAGACTTCCCTTTTTATTCTGAGATGCCTGTGACTTGATCTCATTGTGTGTGAGTTGTGCACACCTCGAAGCTGAAACAGGAAGTCTTTAATCAGCAGTGATCTGACCCTGACAATGCCCTCTTTACCCTTGTGCAAGCAAAGTTACCCAATAGGATGATGGGCAAACAATGGCGGTGTTTTGTTCTGTTCTCTGTGTGTGCGCATGCTGTGTCTTTGTCTCTGGGTGTGTGTTTATGTCTGTGTCTTAAATGACAAGTCAATCACTGATTTTTGTATCAGTTATCTTTCATTTATTCTCAGGTTTGAATTTTCTTCAGCATCTGAGAACCAGTCCTGAAGGTTATGCCCATTTTACCCTTTCCGGAGATTATTATAACCGTGAGCTTTCAGGTAAGTCATGATGCATTTCTGGCCTCTGGAGGGGTATTGCCTCTGAAACTTGGGTTACTGAAAAAGTTACTCCATTTGCAAAGGAGACACAAGGACAGAAACATGCGTACATTTCTAATGAAAATACCTAATGTATTTTGGTTCCGTGGGCATTCTTTGATGGTCATGATAACTCTTTATTGAATCCTGTTTAGAGATATCAGCAAACTTTTTAGTTTCCCAAGCCATTTGTAATAAATAAGCTTAGGAGAGCTGGAAGGGATCTTATAGATCATCAAGTCCAGCCCCTGTCAAGGGGGGCCAGTGGGGGAAGCAAACTCTCAACCTCTGGCTCTGGAGTCAGAAACCTAAACCACGGAATTACCCAGCAGTTCTAATAATAATCTTAGAGCTGCAGAGCTGGAAGGGACCTTATGGATCATCCCGTCCAGCCTCTGTCAAGGAGCCACAGTGGGGGATCAAACTCCCAACCTCAGGCACTGCAGCCACATGCTTTAAATCTCTGAGCCTGTCCATCAGTTAGGAGTACAAACTGGGGTAAAATGGGCCCAGTATTTTAATTCTAAATAGATGGCTAGAATCCTATCACCAGCCTGTGCTTTGCGGAAGAGGAATGGCATCAGTCGTGGCAGCAAGTTGCCTCTCCTTAACGCAGTGCCGCTTGCGTTCCTGGCTGTGTTTCCTAGGAATGCGAAATCTCCCCCTCCCATCCTGTGATGCATCTTCCCTTACACGGGCATCGATCAGAATCTGGCCAATACAGGCACGCCTCACTTAATGACCAAGTTCCATTGAACTGGTCAATAAGCGAGGAGCAATAATAGCATATGAAGGAGTAATAAACCATGTGCTATTGAGAAGGGGCATGGTGAAGATGCAAGTACAGGTTCATGGAAGCCACAAAGGGTCCTAAATCCGAGTGGTTGGTTGTTAAATGAGCAGGTTGTTCAGTGAGAAGTGCCTGTACATCTTTTGACATGATAAGTAATGTGCAATTTGCAACCACAGAGCAAAACTCCCTGCCAGCATAGAGCTCTGTGAGATCTCTGGCTTGCTGTTTGCTCTTCGAGGCAGAGATTGCTGGACTGCAGCTAGTGGGGCTTCCATTCATATAGAGAGGCACCAGATCTCCGGGGAAAGACCCAACAGTTTGCCTGTGTGGAGCAACCCAAATAAGATTCCAACGTTTGAGGCTGGTTCTGCCTCCCCTCCCCTGCCCCAGCATGTCCTTAGCAGCCATTAACCCCCAGTTCTGTTCCCATTCTCTTCTCATAGGCTGGGAGCCATTTGTTGAGCCCTGGCCGTGCTCCGTGTCCTGGCAACAGCAGTCGGCCAGCCGCCTCCATCCGTCTCGGCTGAAGCTGGAAGTGAAAGCCAAGCACCGTTTGGATATCAACATCACTTCTGTGTTGATTGGTACGTCCCCGTCGGAGAGCTCGAGACGGACTGCGCTCTGTCGTGGGGGACACAGCCCTGTGACGACCCTATGATAAAGATCTAAGATCAAAGAGAGCTTCTGTTCCCCAAAAAGGCGGCTTGGAAAGGGTGCACCGTCTGCTTTTGCTAGAGCTGAGTGTGGACTCCGTAGCCTGGTTCATAAATGACACAACATGTTAGTCAGCTGAGTCAGGGTCACAGAATCAGAGAATGATTGAGTTGGAAGGGGTCTGTAAGGCCATCGAGTCTAGCCCCCCCGCCCCCACACTCAACACAAGAATCCACATCAAAGCAGATCTGGCAGAGGGCTGTCCCGTTTTCTCTTGGTTGGAGCACTCACTGCCTCCTGAAGTCATTGGTTCCATTGTCGTACTGCTCTAACAGTTAAGAAGTTTTTTTCCCCTGATATTCAACCAAAATCTGGCTTCCTGTAGCTTGAGCCCATTATTACATGTCAGGCATCCATAACGAGAAACCATGGTTAATTCATCTTCAGTCACTGAAAGAGAGTCACATGCTCCTGTGTGTGTGTTGCTGATTAGAGTTCATGATAGCATAGAGACATCCCAGGAGTCAATCTTTGGCCATGCTCATGGATGGGAACAGCCATTAAAGGGTGCAATCTGTCACATACAATGCAGCCTCTCTTAGTTTTCCTGGGGAATGGGAATCCTGAAGGACAGATACAAGCTTGGTGGCAGAATACATATCTGGTGCTTGTTTTTGCTGCATCAAGTTATCTGTTCCTCCTTCCTGTGCGGTGAAAATGGTTATACAATTAGGCAGTCTTAAATTCATTGCATTGCTTTGAATCTGAGGGTCACACAGACATCTGAGTCAAGCAGAAGATGGCGAGTTCTCTTGTTTCTGTTTGGGAGGCATGCAAAGGCCCCAAGTTTTGCCTCCAGGATCCCAAAGCTGGATCAGGAAAAATGTGCCCCCTCTCTTGAAGGTCTGTGGTTTGTCAGCTTAAGACAAGCCAGACCCAGACGGACGGATGGTGAATTGACTTATAATCTTAGAGCGGTGCAGCTGGAAGGGGGTCTTGTGGATCATCCAGTCCATCCCCTGTCAGGGAGGCCCAGTCGGGGAATCAAACTCCCAACCTCTGGCTCTGCAGCCGGATGCCACAAGCCAGGCCCAGACGGACAGATGGTGAACTGACTTATAATCTTAGAGCAGTGCAGCTAGAAGGGGGCCCTGTGGATCATCCAGTCCATCCCCTGTCAGGGAGGCCCAGTCGGGGAATCAAACTCCCAACCTCTGGCTCTGCAGCCGGATGCCTCAACCACGGAGATAAAACACCTTCCAGTGTCCCGGCATATTTATAGAAGCCGGCCATTTCACTTTTCATAATCGGTGCACTTTTGGGCTGTCCTGCGGGCTGTGCTTTTTTTCTCTCTCTCCCGGTTTGGGTCTTTTCCTCCCACTTCTGTCTTCCTTTCCGTAGAGCAATACACCCGCACCAAGCAGTCATGGATGGCCGATTATTGCAAGCAAGAGAAGGAAGTGGAAGAGGTTGAGTCCGAAGAATGGATCGGCTCTTCTGTGGACCCTCCCTCCTTTGGACAAGGTAAGCGCTTTTAGCCACATGGCATTTGTCAATGGTTATCCTTTGTTTTCATCAGTTACGATTGCATGTCCCCCACAATAGCCTTGCATTGAGAACTTTGATGCATCAGCCATTGCGCAGGGCGTTTTCATAGCAGGCTGAGGGCCTCACAGTGACCAATTTCCCCTCTTACACTTAACCCATCTCTCGTGATTTGCTGTTGGGTAGTTAAGCTTTTTTTCAGCCAAGAGCGTCTGTCTCTTTCTCGAGAAGAGTTAAGCCACAGTGTCTCACACTGTCAGTCCCGAACGAACTTATACACAAATGTGTGTTTGAACCTCCTGCAGGATCTCAAGTCTGTCTCCCCATTTCTTATCTCTGCCAGACACCTGTGGTCCCAGGTGCTTATTTTCCTACCTTTTGAGCTCCTTCTCTGCATCGCAACACCCACTCCCCAGTTGCCCCCCCCCCAAAATCAGCTTGGAAAGGTGATGAATGGATGCTGTAAACAACCTCCTTATAAGCAGCAGCTTCTTCCTCCAGAATGTCAGCTCCATCATGAAAGTTAGCAGAGCTGAAGGGTAAAGTCAGCATCCCTGGAGCTGACCTGTCGCTATTCTATTTCTTTCATATCTGCCGTCCCCTGTTACCACCCTATTTTTGCACCAGTGGACATTGGGATCCTGCAGCCTTTTCAGAGGGCCTTATTCACTGAGTACCCAATAGTCTTTCTCTGTGCTTGTAATTTCCCCTCTGTTTTCGTACGCACAACAATCTTGCCTGTATATCTGCATTCCCCCCCCCCTTTCCTTGCTAATGTTGTCTTTCCTGTCTGCCAGGCCTTCCTCTTGTCTACCTTAGAACTAGGAGTACAGCCAGTCTGACTAACCTAGAGCACCAGATGTATGCTAGAGGTACTGTATTGCAGAGTCAAGATGCTTTGCTTTTTCCTGGAACCGTTTTGTGCCATAGATTCATTTTGATGCTGTTTGCCAAACGGGGGGGGGGGCATTGAAAATCCTTGCCAAAGGGGGGGGGGGGCATTGAAAATCCTCTCCGTGTGAGCCCTTTTAGACTGACAAGAGTCTCTGTTCTGCCTCGGCCGTGAGCCTCTCGTAGGAAGGGAGTCCTGCCTGCAAGATGTAAAGCCAAGCCCAGTGTTAGGGAGACGTGAGTGCAAATCCCCACTCAGCTCTTTTTCAGTCTCTGAATCCAACTAGCCGCAAAGGCTTGTTAGCAGTAGAAAAGTGAGGCCGTTTGTGTGGCCTTGAGCTCCTTGGAGGGAAGGCTGAACCTGAGAGATAAAGAAACATCACCCCGAGGATACCCAGTGTCGTCTGATTTTGCAGTCCAAGCAGATGTGGAGCTAGGTAGTGGCCCAGGTGAGAGGCCACCCATGAAATCCACATGCTGTATTGGGGAGAGGATGTAGCCGGAGTTCCCAGGCTCAATCCTTAGCCTTTCCAAGTATTCCTAGGAGAAAATCTTGCCAGCCACCCCAGAGCGCTGTTGCTGCCAGTCCTGCCTTACATGGGCCACTGGCTTCACTGGGTGTAAACCAACTCGCTTTTGGTCCCTACAAGCCCTTTTTGGCCTCGCCTGGCTTGGTTCTTACCGCTGAAGGTCACCCGCGGAGTCTGTAGCCCAGACAGCCAGAGCATCAGAAACCTCCTTTTGCCACCCTCCCTTGCAGACCGGCCCCTGATCCTGCTCAAGAAGAGAGGAAGCCTCATGTGCCTCATCCCCCCCTGACTCTTTTTCCCCCCTCTTCCTCTTGCAGCTGAAATGAAGGCGCCAAAACGCAGGCAGCCTTTTGTGCCGTTCGCTCTGCGCAATCACACCGGTTGCACTCTGTGGTTTTCTACTTTAACGACAACCCCAACTCGGTAAGGAATCGTGGCCGAGGGAGAGACGCACAAAGCATGGTTGATGTTGGTGGCAGTGGCGGAATAAGTTTTAAATGCAGTCAAGCAAGTGTAGTGGCTCCAGGATTTCCCTGCACTGAAATAGACTGGTTACCGGATTCAAAGTATTCCAATATTATCTGTTCCCACCTCCTTCTTCTTTTTTAATATATGGACTCTCATTGTATGTAGTATATAGCTTTCTAAGCAACATTACAGTTTTAACTCAAAGCAGAAGGATGATCAAAAGCAGGCTGGATTTTACCTTTGAGAAGCTTTCGATGTTCAGACCAACAGGTAGCATAAATCTACCTGCAAAACTGGATCTTTATTATCAGAAATCTTCTGGGCCGGAAATCATTTGATGAGACGAATGTCATTTTACATTCTCACTGTGTTATTATTCCTTTTTCACTCCGGACTTGATGGGCTAGGGGCACGGAGGTCTCAGATGTGTGCCTCTCCTCTGTGTGATCAGGAGTGGTCATACACCTTTCTGAGAGGCTCCATCTCTGGTCTTCTAGGAGGCAACCATGTTTGTTTCCACATGTATGGTGTGTGTGTGTGTGGGGGGGAGAGGTTATGGCACCTTAAAAGTCAAGCAGATATATTTCTGGGTAGGTTTTCACGAACCGCCACCCACCGTCCACGAAAGTTCGCCCTGAAATGAATTTCTTCATCTTGAAGGTGTCACAATTCCTTTGTGTGGTTGTTTGTTTCTGTTTCTTCTTTTCCTAAAGCAGGATTTGAAAAAGTGGGACTTTGTGCAAAAAAAAATTTTTTTTAAAGGATTTTGCACAAAACCCAGGAGTAGCTTGTTGTTTGTTAGTTTAGTTTCGCCCTAACATCTCCTGTTGAGATATTAAGCCCCTACATAAATATCTGTATTTAGTGGTTAGGGCTCTTTAAGCAAGTGTTTTTTACTTATAGTCCACAAAAGTTCGCCCTGAAATGAATTTGTTCATCTTGAAGGTGTCACAATTCCTTTGTGTGGTTGTTTGTTTGTTTCTATTTGTTCTTTTCCTAAAGCAGGATTTGAAAAAGTGGGACTTTTAAAAAAAAAATTTTTAAAAAGGATTTTGCACAAAACCCAGTAGTAGCTTGTTGTTTTTTTTAGCTTATTTTCGCCCCAACGTCTCCTGTTCAGATATTAAGCCCCTACATAAATATCTGTATTTAGTGGTTAGGGCTCTTTAAGCAAGTGTTTTTTACTTATACCAGAGTCATAACCTTGATTCTTTTAAAAATCCATTTTTATTTTTGTTAATTAAAAAGATTGATTAATTTAAAAATTGTATGCATATGTTACATTGCACGGGAAGAAGTTCGTATGTAGATGCATAGGACAAACATTTGGGTCTTATCAAGATGCCAGCGCAAGGTCTGTGTGTAAAACTTGACAGCCCTTTGTTGTGTTTTGCTTCAGCGCCGCACTTTCCCACAGCGGGAGTCCCAGCGTTATCCCTGAAGAAAACGGGACGTTTCTCGAAGGAACCCATAAAGTCAGCGAGTGGCGTGAAGTCCTTACAGGAGAAGAGGTTCCGTTTGCCTTTGAAGCCAAAGCCAAACTGAGGCACAGGTGAAGTGTGTTGGGATCCCATGGGAGCCCCATCTGGCTTGCCAACATTATGGGCAAAGAAGCTTCCGTCTGAATGACGTTTTAGCCTTTGAGATGGCTTAACGTAGCACATGGCTCAGGGGGTCATTGACCGAGATAGGAACATAACCCTTTGTCATGTGCTACCATATTACCTAATGTCGGCTTCTTGCAATTCCAGTTGTAGCTTCTATTTACACGTTGTGAAACATCAAATAACCCCCTTGGGTCTGTGCAGGCAGTACTGAACTAGGTAGTCCATTGGTCTGATCTGGAATAAAGCAGGTAGCTCTTCGTTTTTACTGGTTAAAAAACATTAACCCATTTATTTAATCAGGCAGTTCTGCCTTTTAATATTTCTCCAGTCAAGAGCTATGGGTCAAATGTGGATAATGCTATATCATAAGTCACCTTTGTCATGTGTTACGATATTACCTGATGTTGGCTTCTTGCAATTCCAGTTGTAGCTTCTATTTACACGTTGTGAAACATCAAATAACCCCCTTGGGTCTGTGCAGGCAGTACTGAACTAGGTAGTCCATTGGTCTGATCTGGAATAAAGCAGGTAGCTCTTCGTTTTTACTGGTTAAAAAACATTAACCCATTTATTTAATCAGGCAGTTCTGCCTTTTAATATTTCTCCAGTCAAGAGCTATGGGTCAAATGTGGATAATGCTATATGAATATTAATAACTTAAGAACAAATCCTTGTTCTTTTTTTGTTGTATGTGTGACACAATGGTTATTATTCCAGTCCACAGCCCACGAAAACAGTCACAGTCCAACATATACAACAAAATCAGATATTTTAAAAAGGCAAAATGACTCAAGTCTGGCTTAGTGTTTGTGACCGTGTTCCAATATTTTTAAGAAGAAAGAGAACTCTTCCCCCACCCCTCAAAGAGTCTGTAAGGTTGGGCCACCTTACCAACACCATCCCATTGATCTTCATTTTAACCTGCTTTTCTTTAAAACGAACAGGCACACCCACGATCTAAGAATTCACCAGTTGCAAGTGAGAGTAAATGGTTGGGAACCAGCCAGTCCAGTGTCAGTAGACAAGGTTGGAATATTTTTCCGATACGCGGCTCCTGACAAGACCACATCTTCTTCTACTGTGAGTCCTCACCATAAGTATCTTTGTTTTAAATTCAGTCATCATGTCTGTTGCAGTCTGTTCCAAGACCGGGTGTTTTTTTTTGTTTTTTTTTGTTTGTTTTTTGGGGGGGGTTTTTTGCCGTTGCAGTCTCTTCCAAGACTGGGTGTGTTTTTTTTTGGTTTTTTGTGTGTTTTTTTGTTTTTTGTTTTTGTTTTTTGTTTTTTGCTGTCATCATTGTTATCTTTATTTCCATTTGATTATATATTTGCTTTTAAATCTGGGTGACGATCAGAGAAGCTGGAATTAAAGGGGCTGAGAACAATCTCTATGGGTGTGTGAAGAGGAGGGGGAGCCCCGGACAGAGGGAGATACAGTGATGCCTCGCTAGACGATGATAATCCGTTCCACTGAAGTCGCTGTTTAGCGAAATCATTGTCTAGCAAAAAGCATTTCCCCATTGGAATGCATTGAAACCTGTTTAATGCATTCCAATGGGGAAGAATCATCATTGTCTAGTGAAGGTCGGCCATAGGAAAGCCACTTTGCGAACTGCCGATCAGCTGTTCAAATCACTGTCTTGCGAAGCTTAGGTCCCGAAAACACCTGTTTGCGAGTGCAGAAGGAGCTGTCAAATTGTCGTCTAGCGAAAATCAGTTTGCATTTGTCCAGCAAAATTCCCCCATAGGAATCACTGTTTTGCAAATTGCTACAGCGATCGCAGAAAGCCAATGTCTAGTGAAAAAACTGTCATGCGGGGTAACTGTCTAGAGATGCACCACTGTAGAGTCTTGCACTTTAGAGGGAACCTTACTGCTGGCTGTTTTTCAGAGATATAATGCCCTGTGTGATGGAGCTGATGGGTTTGAGTCTTGCACTTTAGAAGGAACCTTGCTGCTGGCTGTTTTTCAGAGGTACAATGCCCTGTGTGATGGAGCTGATGGGTTTCTCGGTCACCATCCAGTTTCTACCTTTGTGTTTCTTTCACAGATTGGCAGCCCCGTTAGTAGAACAAACATCATCCATCCGCACGTTTATGTGAGTAGCGATCCCACCTCTTCTCTTCTTAAAGGCAGCCCATTAAGATGATGCCCTTCTGTCAGTGGGGCTTGCTCTCATTTCATGTGACCGTGAAATTGTGTGGCAGAACAAATGATGCATCAGCGAAGACAACATTGTGAATAAGAGTGGTAGATGGTGGCCGTGGTGGGACCTAGGTTTCGATCTTCCACAAAACCATGACTATTTCAAAATTGGAATATTTCACAATTATGATGAAAATGTGCATGTTTTACTCAATACTCTCTTATGCAGGGATTTTTTTTTTTTTTGTAAACAAAACAGATTTAAATCCAACATGTAGCGCTGTTAAGTGTATATATGGTCCTCCAGCCAAAGGCAGGAGAGACTTGGAAAATAGGTAATTTTCGAACCAGGGCTCTAGCTCTGTAGATTGCATCAGAATTTATCAGCGGTTAGGTTCCAGCAGCCCAAATGGACAGGAATTAGTAGAAACTGTTATCAGACCAGCTGAGAGAAGGGTAGCCCAAGGTCAACAATAGCTGCGCTGGCATGAATAAAAGAAGAAATCTCTTATAAATGTGAATTCCATCAGTTTTTGGGCACGCTGAGGCATATCTGCAAATTTGTTTCCTTTTGATCTTCTTTTCTTGAAAACAAAAAAATATTTTTACAGTTCTCTTCATTGCCTCCAGTTCGGGTGGTATTTGCCGTTACCATGGAAGGCAGCGCTCGGAAAGTGATCACGGTGCGTTCGGCCTTGATTGTGAAAAATAAACTGGACATCCCTATGGAACTCAGGCTGGACAGCCCTTCCGCTCCGGACAGTAAGTGTGTCCGCTTCTCGAAATGCCTGCTAAGATGGCGGCGCCCCACACTGGGTGTGCCGCCATCTAGACTCTTCTGTCAGTGTCACACTGTTGATTGTCATTTTCTTTTCTGGTGCTCTAACTTCAAAGCTATCCCCATTTATCTTTTGCTGACATTATGAGAGATCCAGATTATAATAATAATCTTGAGAACTGCAGAGCTGGAAGGGACCCTATGGGTCATGGAGTCCATCCCCGGCCAAGGAGGCAAAAGTGGGGAATCGAACTCCCAACTTCTGGCTCCGCAGCCAGAGACCTAAACCACTCAGCTATCCAGCAGTTCTCAATCATGTTGTGTTGAGTCAAACTATTAGTTCATCTAGGCCTGTATGGTCAGGTTTGGCTAGCTTGTGGCTCTCCCAGATTTCAGGCTAGATTCTTTCCTAACCATATCTGGATTTTTTTTTAAAGTATTGATGGTCTCCCATCCAAATACTAACCAGGCCCAATCCTGCTTACCTTCCATAATCAAGACAAGGTTTGGGTTGTTCGTAATTTTATGGCGGTGTATTTGCACCCAATGGGAGCGGTACCCCCTTTTTCATCAGGAGAAGTGGGCAAAGCAGCAGCTCCATTGCAGTTCCTGGAACCTAATGCGGGTACCTTGGTCTCCTTCCGTCCCCATCCTTCCCTTATTTTACCCCTAAGGTGAGGGTGTTGACAAGCAGCTGTGGGCTGGGGCCAGGGCGAGGGAATCACAACATTTCCCCGAATTTCGGTCCCCTAGCCCCATGAGAGATGTAGGAGGGCCCCTTCTCAAACCAAGTGGATTCAGAGGCGTGAAAAAAAGGTGAAAAGGAGGAGTGGATTCCCTTACGTGCTCTTTCAGAGATGAGGAAGAAACTGTTGAGATTAAAGATCATCTCTTCTGATGGGGAGATGATGAGGACAGAAGCCAAGCGCCAGAGGAGGGGGTACCAGAGTTCATAAAGCAAAGGCAGCTGAGTCTTTTCCCACCAAGCTTTTCCCACTTCCAGTTCTGCCAGCCCCAGTGCACACATTTTTAGAGGCACACTAAGTATGTAGGAGTGCAGGTATTGTGTCGGTCCTAGAATCACTGGTCATTGAGTTGGAAGGGGCCTTGAAGGTCATCAAGTCCAACCCCCCCTGCTCAAGGCAGGGATCTAAATCAGATCAGATCTGGCAGGTGATGGCCCAATTAGGCCTCCAGCGTTGGGAGAACTCACCTCCTCCCAAGGTCATGGCCTCCGTTGTCGCACTGCTCTAACAGATAAGACAAGAGTTCTTTCCCACACTCACCAGAGGGATTCTTAAGATCCTAGGGGTGGACCTGTATTATATCCACCTCTCTGTTTATTTGTGCTGCTGTTGCCTCCAACCATCAGATGTTAATACTTCTGAAAAGTTATTTCCCCGCAAGGGAAAGAGATCCACTCATAGTAAAGTAGACTCGCATTACTCTATTGACTCAAACCTGGATCTGATTTCTAGTCCCAGTGATGACTCCTTACATCCCTTTGGTCATTCTCCCTTGGTTGCAGAGCCCGTCGTGCTGCCGTCGGTGATGCCGGGGGACTCCTTTGCCATCCCGCTCCATCTCACCTCCTGGCGGCTGCAAGCCAGGCCCAAGGGGATGGGGGTCTTCTTCTGCAAGTCTCCCATCCACTGGACGAACGTTCAGAAGACCTCCGAGGTCACCAGTAGCAAACGAGAGTGCCACGCCATGGAGTCTGAAAACAGCCGGTTCTTCAGGTGACCGAGAGATAGTGGGCAGAGCCATCCTCTTCCCTTTTTTATATTTCATCGTAGGGATGATGTCCTGATATTGTTATAGAACTAGCTGGGAAATGTTTAGCCGCAAAGAAAAAGTCATGGGCCTAAATCCATCAGATGGTCCCACCTAGAATTAGTTAGCTATATGCTATCAAGTCGGAGCTCAAAGCCTCATTTCTGGTTTTGAAAAATGATGTGCTTATGTGCTTTTTTTTTTAAATGTTGAGCACTGCAGCCTAGTTAAAATGTAAATCATTTTTGCTGCAAGAGACTGGAAGCGCCAACTTTCTCAATGGGCCTACATGTCTCTGGAGTTGGGTGAATTGATAATATGGAATTTAACGTTCCTAACACAATAATAGTTACTTGAAGAGTCTTTCTTATGTTGTAGCTGAACTGCTGGGATGCATATTGCTTGTACACAAGAGGAATTCTTGTAGGGAAAAGTATCTGTTTGCAACTTGAGACCAGAAACACCTTTGATGTAAACTCCTGTTCTGAAAAAAAGAGAAAAAATCTTGTGTTTGTTTTGTAATAGAGACTGCCTTCAGTGATCAAAACCACAAGGGAAAAGGGGGGGGGGAAATCTTATTATATAGAACAGTAAAATGCAAAGCAAATATTAATAATTGTTCAAATAAGCAGTGCGATTGTCATTAAAAACAAAAAACAGGCAGTATCAAAGGCTCTCCTAAGCATGGTCAGCCAGAGAAGGAAAATGGGGAATTGTTGCAGGGAGCGAGATCTGCTGTTCAATGACAGAGAAATCCCTTGCTATGACTCATGTCGTTCAGATGATGGGCAAATGTGGACCAAGTTTTTTGAAGTGGCTTTTGTTAGGGAACAGTACTTGAAGGGGAAAGAAAAGTCCTCTTGTTAACCTTCTTGGGATGCTAAACAGTGCAAGCCGATGAAAGCTCCATAAGTTTCGGGGAGGTTATTTTGGGGAAACCACTCCCAGAATCTGCCAGCCAGCAGGGGCCCGAGCATGCCAGCTGGGATTCTGGGACCCATTTGTGCAAAAAACTGAGTTTCCCAAGTTCTGGCTTTGGCACAAGGTAAGGCAGTGCAACATACCTAATTGTTAGCAGACAACTAACGGGTCCTTTTCTGTGCCTCTCCCCAGGAAAACGTTGCTTCCAGAAATCCAGCCACGCGGTTCCATGCCCTGGTATTTATTTCTGTGTCCCTGCCTTTCCTCCTAGGTTTTGTGTGGCGATAAAGAAAGAAAACTATCCGGACTACATGCCCTCCAGCATATTCTCCGACAGCGCGAAGCAGATTTTCAGACAGCCTGGGCACACCATTTATCTCTTGCCCACGGTGGTCCTCGCCAACCTGCTGCCGTGCGAACTTGAGTTTTATGTCAAAGGGATGCCGATTAATGGGACTTTGAAACCCGGAAAAGAGGCGGTGCTGCACACAGCCGACACGTCGCAGAACATTGAGCTTGGTAAGGCTGAACGCAGCCCGGGAGCTGTTACGGGCATCAGCGTGGCCGAAATGCCAGCCATATTTACTCACGGTTGAAGTGTTGGAGAGCTACCTTTCTGCAGAATTAGTTCACCCCAAATCCTTCAGGATCAGATCTCCTCCCGTTCACCCCCATGAAGTCCCAAAATGATATTTTCCAAACACCAACAGAGTCTCTTCTGATGCGTGAAAGTCTAAGGCCAGGGTCGTCTTTGGCATCTGAGAGGGTAATGCCCCCCCTTTCATGGCGCTCTGTGCGACCATGATGCATGCAGAGGGTGGAAGCTCTCGAGTCCAGTTGCTTGCACCACTGGTCATGGCGCCGGCAGAACTGGCCAGCTGCCTAACGAGTTTTATTGAGAGCATCATCTTCCTTGGACTGCAGCTCTCTTCCTCAGATGTGTATGGCCTTTGAAGGAGTCGGCTAGGATTAAATATGAGCACAACCCATTTTGTCCTAGTTCGTAAAGGCACCAGGGCACAGGTGCTGCTCTTCCCCTCCCTCACCTCCTCAGCTGATCAGCCACTCACCAGGCCCAGCTTGCTTGCTTTTCCCACCTCCTTGGCTAATCTCCCAATCAGGAGCAAGAGCAAAGGCTTCTCTGCCCCGCCCTTTTCTCTGATTGGGAGATCAACCAAGAGGACGGGGCAGAAAAACCTAAGATCTTGCCGGGCACTGGAAGATCAGCTAAAGATCACAGAGGCTGGGCCTGCAGAGCGGCTGATCCCACCAGAGGAGACAGGGAAGGGAAGCAGCAGCAGCTGTGCTGCCGTCTTGACGAACTGGGACGAACCGGTTCGTGCCCATCTCTGCAGAGTGCCATAAATATCTGTTTTTGTTTTCTTCTTCCTCTGTTTCAGGAGTGTCTTTAGAAAACTTCCCACGCTGCAAGGAGCTTTTGATACCCCCCGGAACCCAAAACTATATAGTTCGGATGCGGCTATACGACGTGAACAAGCGGCTGTTGAATCTCACCATAAGGATTGTGTGCCGAGCGGAAGGGTCCTTAAAGATATTCATTTCTGCACCATATTGGCTCATCAACAAAACAGGTAAATGCAGATCAACTTTCCAGAAATCCCATAGATTTAGCATGTCTGTTCTTGTTGGGATGAACTTGGGTTTATTTATTTATTCTAATAGGGCCCCTGAAAGCCTATAAAATGTCTAGCTGACCTTTCATCTTCCAGCTATATGAAAGCAAAAAATATATATTTGTTATTAATATAAAAGTGACTCTGTGCTCTAAATGAAATGTAGAACCCTTATAATAATTACAATTAAAGACCACCAAGTCATTTCCAGTTTGTGGCAACCCTTTGCAGAGTGTTCTAAATATACTCAGAAGAAGGTTCCCCATTCCCTTCTTCCAGGGGGCACCCTGGGACTGTGCCGCTTGTCCAAAACTACACGAGCTGTTTCTTCTCTTGGGAAACATGATAAAGAATTGAACTGACTCATCCCAGACAGCCCACTTAAGGAAATTGAAGTTAGCAAGTGGTTCCAAGTAGAGATGGGCATGAGCCACCCACTTCGGCAGTTCGTGCTGGTTCATTGATTGGCCAAACTGATGTTCGGCGTTTCAAAGCCCCGCCTCCTCCCGTGGCCGCCCCCTTGGAGGTGGCAATCTGGTTTTCTTGCCCCGCCTGCTCTGATCTGATTGGACACTCGCCAGAGGGAGGCCAGGCTTTGAAGCGCCGAACTCCCGTTGAGCCAATCTACGAACCACCGAACCAGCGATTTGTACCCATCTCTAGTTTTAACTCATTTTGTGATTTAAAAATCTCCAGCCCTGAGATCACTCCATGTGTCTCTTTCTGTAAGTGACTTTATCCCATTGCTTGTGCAGGATTGCCACTGATCTTCAGGCAGGACAATGCCAAGGTGGATGCCGCCGGCCAGTTCGAGGAGCACGAGCTGGCCAGAAGCCTCAGCCCGCTTCTGTTCTGTTACGCCGACAAAGAACAGCCGAACCTGTAAGCTTCAAGGATGTGTGGGCCGGGGGAGGGGGTGCAGTTGCAGGAAAATTGTGTCCTAGCGAGATTGTATCTGGTGGCATTCCTAGCAGCCTTTTTTGTGACGCTGAGAATGGTGCTGTTGGAGGATTAAAGAGAGCGAGAGAGATGTGCCTCTCATTTCTTGTTATGGATTGAACGTGAATGATCCTCAGAAGAAATTACTGAGTAATATCTATATTATAGATATCCATACAGTGGTGTCTCGCTTAACGACGTTAATTCGTTCCAGCGAAATCATCGTGAAGTGGATTCGTAATGTGGGGTAATCGTTAAGCGGGGCTCATGAAGCGGATTCGTTGAAATGCGGGGCACAACTGTATTTGGGGAATGCTGGGAATTACGATCCAAAACACACTTCTGCACATTTCTAATAGAGATCAAACACCACTAGAATTTATGGGGAATGCTAGGAATTGCAGTCCAAAACACACTTCTGCACATTTATAATAGAGATCAAACACCACTAGAATTTATAATCCCTCCCACCCATCTTTGTCTAAACTACATTTAACCATTCTGCCGCTACTATTAAGTATGGTGGTCTTGCCAGTTAGTCTCCAGGGTTTGAGCGTCCATCTTGGAGAAGTCTGTCTCAGTCATTAAAATAGTAACGATTTAATAATATGGACTGTCTTCTGCAGTGAACAGATGCGGTTGAGTTTTTGTTTTGGTGTGGTTTTTATATCTTAATACATCCCCTTTAGTGTTGTTGCGCCCCTCCCGATGTTGTGTTCCTCGCCGTCGGCCATGCTAGCTAGGACCGGCTGGTGTTTTTATCCAGCTGTGTCTCAAGAGCTGTTCTTCTCATAGTATTGCTTATTGCTACTAACTTAAATACAGTCTTTTAGCTGTTGTAAGTTGCCTTGAGGAAAAGTGGGTCAAAAATAGATAAATAATAAAGAAGTCCAGACCTTACGGGCTGGGCTGAGCAGTTGCCGAGTGGCCTCTTAGCTTTGCCTTCGATCAAGAGGTAGTAGCCTATATCAGTGGATGCCCCCCCCCTCCAGTTTGTCAATCTGGCCAAGGCTTATTCGAAAACACCTCTGTGCGTGGGTGGCTTAATTACGGCCTTGTCTTCCTTGTGGCAGTTGCACCATGAGAGTCGGGAGAGGAATCCACCCTGACGGGATGCCCGGCTGGTGTCAGGGCTTCTCGCTGGATGGAGGAAGCGGCGTCCGAGCCCTGAAAGTCATCCAGCAAGGAAACCGACCGGGCCTCATCTATAACATTGGCAAGTATTGGCCTCGTCCACCCTGGAGGTCGCAATCCAGAATGGTGTCTATGTTTACCTAGAACAACAGAGTCCCTGGTGGTACACCTTGACAGCTCATTGAACAGAAGCGTTCGTGGCTTGCAGTTCGCTTCGTTTCGTGCCAAGTGGGCTGTGGCCTATGAATATTTATCCATGAGAAATCTAGTCCATCCTCAAGAGTCATTTCTGCCTTGAGGTATTCTTTTCCCTCAACCCCTTCAGGGATGCCAACAGTTGCCGTCCCTCCTCTTGTCAGGAACCTATTTCAGTCTGAAGCAGTCACTGATGAACAGAGTCAATAAAACTTGTTTTGTGATTGCTTTTCCCCCAGCCACTGCGTCTTTCCTGCCACACCCATCCGGCTAGAAGGCTCTGTGTTATATTAGCGCTTTTGTTCAAAAGCCGAACCCCAGAATCCGGTTTCCATGAGGAAACCATGCAGAATTTCCATGAGGGTCATCGCCGACTTCTGCGCCCTTCGAAATGCTCCCAAATGGTTACCAAAGGAGCGTTTCGGAGGATTAACATTTTGTCCACGGGCTTGCCAGGGCAGGGTGCGTGTGTACGGAAGGGGGCTAGGAATTTTATGTGCCCGTTGTTGCTCCTTTAGATTAAAAGCTGTTCTTGACAAATTGAAACGGCTTTTCTTGTTTCAAACCTTCAGAACCAAGTTTGGTTGGTACTTTCACCTCCCACCTCCACTTCGAGCTTCAGTGGGAAAGTAGTTTGACCTGCATCTCCTTTGACTTACTGGCCACTGGCTGTGGCTTCCCAATACGATGCTTGGGTGAGAAAAGGGGAGGCGGGAGAAGGTACACAATTAAAGAAGGTCTGTGAAGGCTGGGTTTGGGGGCACCACGGTGCGCAGTTTGGGAACCACTGTTCCAGGGGTTGACTTAAGCCACAGTTGACGGTCATATCTCAACCAAGGAACTAGGGTTTAATCCCAGACTACAACCAGGCAACTCTGGCCCCGATTGGATGCCCTGAGATGTCGTTAGAAATTAATCCAAGTTTCTTATTCAAACCTGATCTGGAAAAAAAAAAAAGCCCACCACTTTTCTGACTGTTTTGAGAGCGCCAGATGCTTCTGTTCTAACCTGGTTGGTTTGTTCCCAGGGATTGATGTGAAGAATGGCCGGGGTCGCTACCTTGACACATGCATGGTGACGTTTGCACCTCGCTATCTGCTGGACAATAAATCCATGCATAAGCTTGCCTTTGCACAGAGGGAGTTCGCCAGAGGCCAGGTAAGAAACCTCCTTCCGGACAGGTCCAGCTTGCTCGGGATTTAGCGTCAGCCTCATGAGGAGGTGACCTTTCCAAACTTTTTGGATTAATCAGTGTATTTATTCTTAGGCTACCTTTCTGTCTGCATTTGGCCGACGGGCTTCCAGTGGTTTAGCTCCTGTATGAAATGTGACCCTGGCTAAGCATTTAAACCTACTCTGTCTGTTTCATCTGAAATAGACTTTTTGCACTTCTAGATAGCTCAGTGGTTGAGGTCTCTGGCTGTGGAGCCAGAGGTTGGGAGTTCGAATTCCTCCCCCCAGGCCTCCTTGACGGGCTGGACTGGATGATCCATAGGGTCCCTTCCCACTCTGGAGTTCTAAAATGATGATGATTTAATGTTAGCATGATCCAAATTTGTAAAGTTTTGTTCTTGATGCAAAGATCAGGAAGGCAGTGTTGTTACTTTTTTGTTTAACAGCTTGTGCTGTTCATTCAGGGATGTGTCGTGCGTGTTGTTTGTGTGTTGATACATAGTTAAACCTTACACAAACTTGACTGAAGCAAAACCGCCGTCTGTAGATCCTCTTGTTTAATTCTGTGTCTGTGTCGTTCTTTTCAAATCGTGTCATCAGGGAACGTGCAATCCAGACGGTTACATTTCCACCCTGCCCGGTTCGAGTGTTGTGTTCCACTGGCCGCGCAACGATTACGACCAGTTGTTATGCGTCCGGCTCATGGATGTCCCCAACTGCATTTGGTCTGGAGGTTTTGAAGTCAACAAAAATAATTCCTTCCATATCAATATGAGGTAAGCCTGATGGTGGGGATTTTTTTTTCTCCCTGAAAGCCTGCAGTTCGCTTGATGTTTTTAGTGGCTCAATAAAAAGGTATCGCCCCTAGGATGTTGCATTTGTGTCATCCTAAGAGCCACACAACTTTTTTCCTAATTCTTTCTGGGCGGCCTATGTGTTCTCTCTCCCTCTCTCCTCCCCACACCCATTTCCTTCGCATTCTTGTGCCATCTATAATTAGGCAAGGCAGTCTCTTCCCACGTTTATTTTAGACATTCATCTTCAGGTGTTGTTGGGTTTCTTGGCTGCTTCCTCAGCACTGGAAGACGTTTCATGGATGTTAAATTCAAATATCTTAGGAGTGCCTGTGCCCCAGCTGAGCCTTGGTTGTTTCACTGCTCAGGCCAACCTCAGATGGAGATCCGTGGCTCTGTGGTCAGGTGTTTCGGATAGACTGGCGAGTTTTCTTACCCTTAGTTTTGCAGCAATCAGAATACCCAGAAAAGCTCCACCTGCACCCCCATCTGTACACAGAAAGAAGACGGTGTGCGAAAAGGCCCATCTCGGGTTCCTTCGCTGAGCCTGTGTTTTTCCTGACGCCTGCGCCACGTCCCTCCCTCTCAGAACCCGATGCCGGGCAGATAAGATTCCAGGAATAAAACAGAGTAGAAACTGCAAGCTTGAAATCAGTTTATTTCTATGTTTTGTTGTTTTTAAATTCGGAAGGAACCTTTTACGGAAGGAGGCCAAGGTTAGAGAGCAAAAAAAAAAGGGGGGGAGGAAACGAGGCGGCAGCAAGAAGATGCTTCTTGACATCCACTGACCTAAAGGGAAGTTCTCACTTTCATCCAGCAGGGGGCAGTACCTGTAGAAAGACAGCACCCCTTTTCACTTCCTGTTGATTGAGGAAAGGGGCACATGGCAATTTCAACCGTGTGGTTGGGGCACCAGAGTATAGATGGGATCTCACACGGACAGAGCTGTGGTGCTCCCCATCATACCAGAATAAGATCCCTCCATTGGAGGGGGGGGGGAGGCTTTTTCTGCAGGCCAGACTTTTCTTTCATAGATGGGATCTCACACGGACAGAGCTGTGGTGCTCCCCATCATACCAGAATAAGATCCCTCCATTTGGGGTGGGGGGGCTTTTTCTGCAGGCCAGACTTTTCTTTCTTCATATCAGAACTTTTCACAGTTTAACATTATGGAGGCATGTGAAATGCAGGTAAAATTAAGACCAAATTAAAAAAACTAAGAACCTTATTTGTCACCAGACGCAGGCTACTTCAATAGCAAGATCTTAGCCATTTGCTAGGCCTTCTTTTGTACATTGCGGTGGAGCATAAATTGCGTGCACCGGGAGTGGTGCATGGATTGGATTTTTCCACAGCCGCAGAAAGTTTGCCCTGTATCCCAAGTAGCCCACCATCTTTAGGAAAATTCCTTCGGCTTTGCATTCAGAGAAGGAGGAAGCAAAGTGTGCTGCATCTATACGGCCCCATAGCACTTAGAGAACTCTCTGGGTGATTTACAATCTAATTATGCAGGCTACACGTTGCTCCCACCCTTCAAGCTGGGTATTCCGTTTCCTGATGTCAGAAGGATGGAAGGTTGAGTGAACCTCAAGCCGGCAACCCCGGTTGTGAGCAGAGTTTTGACTGCAACATTGCAGTTTACCCACTGTGCCACGAGGCCTTCCGGAAGCATTGCTGTTCTTGCAGCCCTTTATCTCTGTAACAGAACAAGGGCTCAAATTCATTCTGGATGTTCTTGTCGATTGAACAAATGATGTTCTGGAACTTTCTGCCGGGTCTGCAAGTCTTGAAGCGGTGCCTCATCAGTAGCCTACATCTGGGTTTCAGGTTTTGTGGGGGAATGTGTGTGTGTAGCTTCCTTTATTTGAATAGTAATTCCTACAAGGAGTGTTGTCTCCCCCCAGAATTTGAGGGCAGTGCTACCTCTGCTCCGTCCCCAAGCCTCTTGTGCTTTGATGCCTCCAACAAGCATTGAACTCAACAGCAAACAATGTTTTTTTTTACCTTCTCCGTGGAAGTTCCGAACAGCTCAGCTTTTAAATTGTATCTTAGCAAAACAGGTTTGCATGTGTTTCCTCCTCTTCTACTACTACAGGGGAGGTGGGGGTGAGTGGCCTGCGGGATTGATGGATGGGGTCCATTTCCCCTGCCAAGCTGCTGAATAGCCTGGCAAGCCCTGAAGCTTAACAACCCTGAACAAGAACGTACAGATTTGAAGAACTATTTAGGTGCCGCATCCCGAAGCTAGTCTTCCAGGACAACGGAATTCAAGGTCTGAGAGATGCTACCTATCAAGTTAGGTTCCGAGGGATGCGAAAGGTTGGAATAAAATCCTTTGTTCCCTGTTGACGGCAACGAAGCTTGTTGATGGGACAGAGTTAGCGCTGCCCCCAAATTCTGGTGTGAGCCATTGCTACAGTTTTCCAAAGGGCTGCTGAGGTCTGGCCCTTGCTAAGAACAAGGAGCGTTGGGGATTTCCCCCTCTCTTTGGTGAATGCAGTGCTTTCTCCAGTTTGGAAAGGCAACACGGGGCTGTTTGTCTCTCTCCCCCCACTTTCTGCAGGGACACCGTAGGGAAATGCTACTTCCTCCGAGTGGAGATCACCCTTAAGGGAGCCACCTACCGCGTCTCCTTCAGTGATACCGATCAGTTGCCGCCCCCCTTCCGCATCGACAACTTTTCTAAGGTAAAGAGCTGACGCCTTTGAAAAACATAAACATGGGCGTGCCTTTTCTGGGGGAGAAGGTGGGAAGGTCAGGGTGGAAGTCGGAGGTGGGCGTCTGGGTCCTCCATGTGGATCCCAGCTTGATCTCAAGGTTTACAGGGTGGTCCTTTAATGGAAGCCTGGATCTCGGTATAGGATCCGGTTTTCGCGCAAACGGTTCACACACTTTCGTGATTGTTCCTCTAGGTCCCCATTGTTGAGTGGTCTTTAACGGAAGTCTGGGTCTCAGTCGGTATGAGATCCGGTTTTCGCGCAAACGGTTCACACGAGTTCGTGATTGTTCCTCTAGGTCCCCATTGTCTTTACTCAACACGGTGTTGCCGAACCCCGGCTGAGCACCGAAGTCAAGCCGTCCACCTCGTTAGACTACGCCTGGGATGAACCCTCTCTTCCCCCCTGCATCACCCTGAGCGTCAAAGGGGCCAGCTCCTCTGAAATCACATGCTGCATGGATGACTTCCAAGACAGCAAGCAGCTGTATTACGAAAACTTCATTTACATTGCTGCGACATACACCTTCTCAGGGTAACTCCTCTTTTATGTATATGTCAAGGAAGTGGGTCCTCAAAACCTGGGGCCACGTCCGGACCACTCGCAGCTTCTTTCAGGCCCTCTGGACTTCTCGGGATAGCCGTAGCCCTTTCCCCATGCTGGGTTTCTTTCTTTTGTTTATTCCCTACCCGTCCTTCTTGCAGATCTGGCTGTAGAGCCAGAGGCTGGGTGTTGGATTCCCCATTGGGCCTCTTGCCAGTAGAGCCAGCCTGGTCCTTTCCCTATGCTGGGTTTCTTTCTTTTGTTTATCTCTGCCCATCCTTGCAGATCTGGCTGTAGAGCCAGAGGTTGGGCGTTGGATTCCCCATTTGGGCCTCTTGCCAGTAGAGCCAGCCTGGGTGGCCTTGGGCAAACCGCGCAGTCCCCAGGTTGCCCCTAGAGAAAGGGAAGGGTAAAGCACTTCTGAGTCTTCTCCATCTGGAAAACCCAGAAAGGGGTTCTTGCCTTCTTGTAGAAAAGCTCTGGGTCCGACACTGAGGGGCTGCCAGTGGCACATCTTCAGAGTAAGCGCGAAGGTGCTATTGAATCAGGAATTTGCCTGCAGAAGTTGGCAGTTGTGCCACAGAGCAGTCCCACACAAGTGGGCTTCACTTGGTTAGGGCTATATTGGTTTTAGGTCTAAGTATAGTGGTGCCTCGCTAGACGATGGCCTGCAGAAGTTGGCAGTTGTGCCACGGAGCAGTCCCACGCAAGTGGGCTAGCAGAGGGTTTCACTTGCTTAGTGCAATATTGGTTTTAGGTCTTAAGTATATGTCACTGCACGTGCCTATGTTCATCTTCCAACACTCTTCCTTCTTTTTTGATGCATTCATTCGGTACTGAGATTTAGAATGCAGGAGCCTGTGGAACAGGAGATATTTCTTTTTGCCTTTGACCTGCTGTAAAACCTAAGAGTATCCTAGAACCATGGAGTTGGAAGGGGGTCTCTAAGGCCATGCACCATAGGAAAGGTGCTTTGCGAACCGCTGATCAGCTGTTTAAGTTGCTGTCTTGCGAAGCTTAGGTCCCGAAAACCCCCATTTTGCGAACGTGGAGGGAGCTGTCAAAATCGTTGTCTAGCGAAAATCGGTTTGCGAAGCAGGGACCAAACATGGTCCAGCAAAATCCCCCCATAGGAATCACTGTTTTGCGAATCGCTATAGCGATCGCAAAAAGCCATTTAGTGAAAAAACTGTCATGCGGGGTAACTGTCTAGCGAGGCACTACTGTATATGTCACTGCATGTGCTTATGTTCATCTCCCGAGACTCTTCCTTCTTTTGATGCATTCATTCAGTACTGAGATTTAGAATGCAGGCGCCTGTTGAACTGGGGATATTCCTTTTTTGCCTTTAACATGCTGTAAAGCTTAAGAGTATCCTAGAACCATGGAATGGGGCCTCTAAGGGCATCTAGTCCAACCCCTGCAAGTCAGGAACCCAAATCAAAGCAGATCAGACAGAGGGTTTTCCCAAGCTTTTCAGCTGTGCAGATCTCATCATCACCCAAGTTGTAAATAATCCATCTGGAGTTTCGTGCCAGCCAGAAACCTATTTCTGAAAGTCCAACAGGTTCTTCTGCAGTGGGCATGCAGTGGGCATTCCCCCCACCCCATCTCTTTGACTTTCTCATTTCTAAAATGTTGCATTTCCATCGAGCTCAATCAGAAGTTTGATAACTTCAAAGCTTAAGAGTATTGTGTCCAAATATTCAGTGGATTTTCTTTGGGATTTCAGTCTGCAGGCAGAATCAGGGAGGCCGGTGACTTCAAGGAAAAGAGTGGATTGTGCTGAACTGGTTCTGGATGTTTCTTTGAAGACACAGCGAGTCATATTAAAGAAAAAGGTACAAATCTCCATGCTGACATTCCTGTCGGTATAATATAGCCAGTTGGAACGTCATCACAGACTGGGAGAAACTACCTCTCAACTCTTACACCCTGTATACCTGGAGAGAGGGAGGGATCCAACCAACCAACTAGCATGTTTCCCCAAAAATAAGACAGGGCAACCAACTAAATAGCGTGTTTCCCCAAAAATCAGACAGGTTCTTATATTAATTTTTGCTCCAGAAAAAAAAAACGCATTAGGGCTTATTTTCAGGGGATGTTTTATTTTTGTCATGTACAACCATTTACATTTACTCAAATGCAATCATGTCATCTTCTGGTTGCTGCATAACAGTGGAGGGTGCGGTTTCACTTAACTAGGGCTTATTTATATATATTTTGGGCTTATTTCGAGCATCCTGAAAAATCATAGATGGCAAATATCCAAAATTATTTACAATTCTTCAAGCGATGAGGTTGTAAAATGCCTACCTTGTAGGTTCTTGTTGTTGTCGACTCGCTTCCGACTCAGGATGACCTTATGAATGAGCCACCTCCAAAATGGCCTGTCCTCAACGGCCCAGCTCAGCTCTCGTAGACTCAAGTCTTGTGGCTTCCTTTCAGGAGTCTGCCCATCTTGTCTTCCTCTTTTCCTCCCGCCTCCAGGAGGTCTAGAGCTTGGAGAAATTCAGCAGCCAAACCACCCCCAGACCTTGGGGACTAAAACCTCCAAAGGGATGAGGCTTCAAGGACTTTCTTAAGAGGACTCTTCTAGGAATGGATGCTGCCTTGATTTACGGGAGAGGGGGGATCCCTCATTTTCTTTGCTGCTCTTTCCTCGCAGGAGCCCGGGAAGCGTTCCCAGCTGTGGAGAATGACGGGCACAGGCATGCTTTGCCATGAGGGTTCTGCCGTTCCTCACCACCCAAACAAGCCCTCCCCGCCTCGCTCTGCCGAGTCCTCCATGATCTTGGACATCGCTGGACTAGCCGCAGTCACGGATAACAGGTACAGAATCCCCAGAAAGAGGCCACAACAAAGGGAACTTTATTCAATCATCATTTTTCCCTTCGATTCCACTCAAATGATGGGAGGCGGACCACCGCTCAGTTCAGTTTCACCCTCTAGCTAAAGCAAAGTCTCCACCCTTGTTCTGCTTGATCCCTTGTTAGGAAAAGCTAGGGTCCTCTCCCTAATCCTAAAGGTTGATTTTTGGGGGGTAGATTTATCAGTAACACTCCTTCTAGCCGCTTAAAGGTTGATTTTTTTATTTTTTATTTTATTTTTGTAGATTTATCAGTAACACTCCTTCTAGCCTGTTTCTGCAAATGAAAGAACAGGTGTAATCGTATTTCTTTAGACAGGTGAATTAAGTCAGCTCTTGCTCTTGGTAAGGCACTTACGGTAGAGTCGTATTTCTTTAGACAAGTGAATTAAGTCAGCTCATGGTCTTGCTCTTGGTAAGGCACTTACGGTAGAGTCTTCCTATGAGTTGGAGCTTGGGAACAAAGGGTGATCATAGGTGGCAATAAAAATAGGAAATATGGCCAAGTTACTCAAAGTCGTGTAACAAGTACACAGAAACAGATTCAGTTTGCTTTTCAGATACGAACCGCTGATGCTGAGAAAGCCAGACAGACGGCGTAGTACCACCCAGACCTGGAGTTTCCGGGACGGGAAGTTAGTCTGTGGCATGCATGGCCTTGCCGTACAGGTTGGTGATGTTTTCCATGGCATTGCTTGGCGCAGAACCTTAGAATCGTAAAGTGGGAAGGGGCCTATAAAGCCATCAAGTCCAGCCCCCTGCTCGATGCAGGAATCTGGGTATTTTCGTTGGAAACAAACCTCAGTCCAAAGGAAGCGAAGGGGAAGATGAATTTATTCTTAGTTCCATGATTCCCTAAAATCAATGAATTTCCCCCCCCCCCCAAAGTTGTGTGTAAGAATCTGAATGTCAAGAATGTTTGGTGAAGACTGCAATCTTTTGAATCTGGTTTGAATTAGACTAAGGTTTGCTTCAAACAAGAACTGCCGGATCAAATGAAATGTCACACGGAGGTATTTTAAAAGTGTCGCTGTGATCCGGGGGAGGGGGAGAGCATGCAAATCTGACATGAAGAACAAGAAGAAGGCCATAAGATTACACAAATCTCAAAGCGGATAATACTTTTTATTGTCCCACTAAAAAATCAAACAAATCGCAAACTTTCATGGAGAGGATTCTGTGTCCTCAGATTAAGAAATGCCACTTCATTAACCGTGCAGCAAAATGATAGCCAAAAGCCCAGAAATTGATGGTAGAGGTTTGTGCCAAGTCTGCCAGGAGAGGTGACCTCAGGTTCGGCTTTCAAATATTTGGGTCCTTGTCTGCAGTTTTTCTGCGCTCTCCATGAAATGTGTGCTGCTTAGCCTGACAAAGTGCCATTTCCTCTATGAAAACATGCCATTGGTTTGATTTGTTTGTGTGTGTGGTTCAGTAAAAAACAAAACAAATCCTATCCTTCAGGATCATAGAAGCTTATCTGTGTAATCTCTAAAGAGAAGGGGGGCATCGCTCCCATGGGGCCAACTCTGGCCCTCCTGGGGGTTCCCTTCCAAGCTGCTGAGTTTTAGCCTAGAACCGCCAAGAGTCCACCCTAGCAAGATAAAAGAATCTGCCATGGACAGTATTCTGAACTGCTTCCAAGATGTGACCAATGTGGCTTTGGAGATGGCAAACCTACCAGCCTTCCACTACTTGTATGGACCATCCTTTAATCGGACTCTGAGCCTTTAACCTAAAATATTCCTGTTCTTTTTTGTCTCGCCCTTTTGCTTCCTGCTGCGATGGAATGTCCATGAACATCTCTCTGGCCTTCAGGTGGAAAGTGGGTTCCCATCCTTGCGCTCAACCATTGTTTTGCATGTTGTCCAAACTAACACAACGTGGCCACCACCCAGGGCAGTGTGAAGATCTAAGAAAGGACCTGCCCTAGCATAGCTGCGATGCTCAGGTGGTGAACAGATGTGCCAGATGTTAACAGTGAGCCGCCAAACCTGCCTAGCCCCCCCCCCGCAAGGAAGGGGGAGAGTAGGGAAAAGATCCGTATAGCCTTCCGTTCTGTCAAAACTTGTATTTCAGGAATGATTTATGGTCTGTGTGCTTTGTTAATTTTGTCCATGTTTATCCTGTTCTTTTCATTAAAAAAAGAAAGAGAAGAACTGTTCAAACCATTCTCATTTTCCTTGCCTGTCATAGTAGGAAGCTTGTTAATGTCAGAAACAAAAGGCCTAAAAGCTTAAATGGGTCCTGATGGTTATGATGAATTGCCTTACCGTAACAAAAGGATTTTTCAGAGACAGTATGCAAATCGTGTCTGTAAGAATCAAACCTGATTTAGGAAGGCGGGGGGGGGGCAGATACTTCAGTACCTCTGAGATCTTTCATCAAAGACTGCATTCTCCTAAGATGTACATCTGGAATAAATTTCTAAGCTATAGTGCAACAGATGCAGTCTTCACCAAAGGTCTGTGGGCCGTATTTGCGATTTCTCTTCATCCTCCGACTTCCCACCCCGGTCGCTCTGCTTTCTTAATTCTGTGCAATTCCGTCTTGCCATATTTTGCTTTATAGAAGAAATGTATCAATAAAACCTGGATCTGTGCCCCCCACCCTGTTCTTCCTAGTTCCCTTTACTCATTGGCTTTGCTTTTTTTTTTCTTTAAAAGCTGCATTCCCTGTGAAGGTTTACTTCCAGTAAGCTCCAGTGAATTCAGCAAGGCTGCTTTCCAAGTAAATGTGCATAAGTTTAGTCGGTATGCCAAATTTCCAGGAAAGTCATCAAAGCCAATTCCAGCTGTCAGAAAGGCAGTGGGAATTTACTCAAGACAGCTTAAACTTGGGAGAAGGACGGAAACTGATGCATTACAGTTGGGGGGGGAAACAGGATTTGGCTAAGCGTTATACCCTGATTCCCCGAAAATAAGACCTGACCTGAAAATAAGCCCTAGTAGGATTTTTCAGGATGCTCGTCATATTAGACCTACCCCAAAAATAAGCCCTAGTTAAGTGAAACCCTGCCCTCCGCCCTTGTGCAGCAACCAGAAGATGACATGACTGTATTTGAGTAAATGTCAGTTGTTGTCCTTGAAAAAAATAAAACATCCCCTGAAAATAAGCCCAAATGAGGTTTTTTGGAGCAAAAATTTATATAAGACCCTGTCTTATTTTCGGGGAAACACGGTAACGATGCCCCAGCCGTAAATCTGGAGACCCACCTTTTCAGGCAGGCTTTTTAACAATCATGACTGTGAATGCTTTTTTCTAAAGTTAAGGTAGTTCTTTTAATGTTTGCTTGACTTTAATTATCCCCTTTTGCTTCAATTGGCATATCATTTAATGGTGTGTTGTTGTTTATTAATGTGTAACTTGTTACGTTTTTAATTCAGTCCTTTTTTCATATTGTGAGCTGCCTGGGTCCCCTTATTAGGAGGAAGGCAGCCTGTAAATACAACAAAGAAAGATGATTAAAATAAATAAATCCATTTTGACAGGGGAAGGGGCTACCTTAAGAGATGGCGGTTCCTCCTTTGGTTGAAAGTCTTGAAGCAGAGACTGGAGTGGCTGTCTGGTCAGGATTTAGCTGGAGGCTGCCTCAGCTGGCAGGATGGGAAACGGGAAATGGGGCAATAGGCGATGCTTTTTCACTCTGGATCCCTTCCCTCTTCCCCAAACGCCTCCTGCCCCTGCCCCACTCCTTCCCTGCACCCACTGCCATGTGGCCCCTGTAGGCATCCATCCTTGGTGTAAAGAAAGCACCCTGTCCAAAGTAGCTGGAGTCAGCCAAACCGGTCAGGCTGGCGGGTCCATCCTGCCTAGGTTTCAGATGGCTCCGTAAGCAAGTGGTTGGACTGATTAAAACCCCTGAAGGGGATCCGGGTTTGTCAGAGGGGTTTTAGAATAAACAGATACTGTGAAGATAAGATGCTGTTTTGTTTTTTGTTTGTTTGTTTTAGGCTCTTTCACACACTCTTCCTTTTTTTACCTTTCCTGGCCGTTGACTATTTTTCTTCTTCATTCCAGGTGAAAGGAGGGAAAGCGGGTCTACACGATGGAGCAGAAGTTGTCCTCGGTCCAGATACCTCCCTAGAAATGTTGGGTCCCGTTCCACCAGAACAGCAGTTCATCAATCAGAAGATGAGGCCTGGGTCAGGAGTCTTGGTCGTCAGGGTCACGCCAGACGGCCCAACCAGAGTGCTGCAGGTGATGCACGTTTCCCATGTGATCAATCCTAGAATCGAGGAGTTGGAAGGGGCCTACAAGGCCATGGAGTCCCACTGCCTGCTCAAGGCAGGAATCCAAGACAAAGCGATCAGACGTAGGGCGGCCCCAATTTCTCTTGAAGGCCTCCAGCATTGGAGCGCTCACCACCTCCCGAGGTCACAGGCTCCGTTGTTGTACTGCTCTAACAGTTAGGAAGTTTTTCCTCGTATCAGCATAAATCTGGCTTCCTATAACTAGAGCCCATTATTACATGCCCTGCATGCTGGTATGATTGAGAACAATTCCTGCCCCTCCTCTGTACGACTACCTTTTTGTCTTTTAAAAGTGCTATCCTTTATCTCCTCAGTCTTTTCTCGAGGCTAAACAGGCCCAGTTCTTTCCCTCTTTCCTCCTAGGGCTTGGTTTCCAGCCCCCTAATCATCAGCCTTGTTGCCCTCCTCTGAACTTGCTCCAGTTTGTTGACATTCTTCTTAAAGTATGGTGTCCCGAACTGGACACAGGACTCGAGATCAGGCCTGACCAGTGCCAAACAGAGGGAGGACTAGTATATCATGGGATTTGGAGCATTTGCAAATCAAATTAATATATGCTACGGTACACATAGGCTTTATGTCTGTGTCTGTGTATGTACATACACACATGAAGGATTATACTAGTAGAGTTGTCTAAATCCAGTGGTTACTCCAAACTGGAAGAGACCCACCGAATGATTTTTGTTTAAGCCTTTCTCTCAGTCCTGGGCAATGGATCTCCTTTAGATGGGGACCAACAGTTGGATTTAGGTCAGTATTTATCAGCCGCTTTGGGGATCCTTGAGATGGCTGCTAATCACCATCAGTAAAAACAATGAATCAGAGCAAGACACAAACACACAAAGAACAATTACGATGATAAGACAGAAGCAGAAAACACATTCGCCAAGAATACTCCTGCTTGAAAAGGATGTGATGCCCATAATAGTCCAGACCCAATTTTGAGTCTCAACCGGAGTAGCTTCGTTGAGTCAGTAAGACTTTGGCGCTGATTTAATGAGTCCTGTTTATCTCATATTCTAGTTGGGTCTGATGGATGGATGCGAAGCATCTTTCTTGTAATGTCCTTTTCAGTAGGAGGACCTGCAGGGACGCAGAGAAAGGGATTCTCCCACCACCAAGGAGACCCCGTCCATCAGAAGTATCTCTGAGGACGGGGGATCGGGATCAAGGGATGCTCTGAACAAGGTTGGATGGAGGTCGCTAGAACCCAAATCCATATTCAGTAAATATAGGTCTAAACATGATTGCAGAAGGTTCTTGCCAGTTCATGTATTTGCTTCTGTGGCTTTCTTACTGCATTCTACATGTTGGTCTCAGATGTTTTGCGAACGGTGAATTTAGCGGGACGTGCAGGAGGAGTCAGTCCTCATAGTCCGTTCTGTCTTAGATAACAGACTTCAGCCGACGCAGAAATGATCGTTTCTCCTACGAAGCCGATGAGATGGAGCACGACCTGAGAAGGCTGAAGAGCCCGGATACCGAAGAAGAGCTGGAAGTGAGTTGCAGGGAATGTAAGGAATACCCAGAGATTTTGAAGTCCTTACAAAAATAAGGTACAGTACCTGGAAGAAATGGTCAGGTGCTATGAGAATGTTCGCTCCCTCTGCAAAGCAAATAGGCCAGCGCACTTTGTCAGCATCTTTGTGAGCACACCCACCCTATGTGTAGCCTGCATAAGGTAGAGGGAAAGGTTCCCCTTGACAATTTTTGTCCAGTCGTGTGCAACTCTAGGGGGCGGTGCTCATCCCCGTTTCCAAGCCATAGAGCCAGCGTTTTGTCCAGAGACAATCTTCCATGGTCACATGGCCAGTGCAACTTAGATACGGAACGCTGTTACCTTCCCACCGAAGTGGTTCCTATTTATCTACTCTAATTTGCATGCTTTCGAGCCGCTAATTTGGCCGGAGCTGGGACAAGCGACAGGCACTCACTCCATCGCATGGATTTGATCTTATGACTGCTGGTCTTCTGACCCTGCAGCACAGGCTTCTGCGGTTTAGCGCGCAGCACCACCACATCCCGTAGCCTGCATAATTAACTTGTAAACCGCCCAGAGAGTGCTTGAAGCACTATGGGGCGAAATATAAGCAGCACGCTTTGCTTTTGGCTTTGCTTCCACGTTCTGGTGAGGGTTTTCTCTTATGTCCAGAGTTCAGCGTCAGCGTCCAGACGTTCCCTAGTCTTGTAGGAAAACAGAAGACTTTTTTCCTAATCCTGACATGTCCCAGTTGAGACCAGTGAAACCCTTCAGAACAGCTGAATATCTTCCCAGTCACTCCAAACTTTCACCTTGTGCAACATCCTGCTTTGAATGATTGTGAATTATTCTGAATCTCTTCTTCCGCTCCGTTTGCAGGTCCAGCTGAAGTTAGAAGGTGGCCTAGGCTTGTCCTTGGTGAACAAGGTCCCAGAAGAGTTGATATTTGCAAGTTTTACCGGCATTCATGTCCATTTCATGCAGCTCTCCACAAGTCAAGTGCTCGAACTAAGCATACAGGATGTGCAGGTAACCGATGATGGCTCAAATGCAAACTTCACCATAGAATTGGCCCCGAACTCTTGAAACAAGATTTGGCCTCTGTGGTTTTGGAACCTATTGAAGGAACTCCAAGGCTAGTTTTTTTTTTAGCGTGTTTATAACAGAAGCAACCTATGACAACAGTAGATTAAATACATTATTTTCCTTCCCATCTGCCTCATGGAAAGGCCACTAACTCTTGACCAACTTTAGGATTAAAAAAATCTGCAGTATAGTACATCAACCCAAACTTCTTAAAGCTGACAGACTCCATTTTTTTTAGAGAACTTCACTATATATCCATGGAGATCAACGATGAAGAAAGCCAGTGGTACTGAGAAAAAAGTTAGAACATCATGAGTGAGGGTGGGAGGATAGGTGTATGAAACTCACCGGGAGATTTAGCCCCAATCACCCTTTCCCAGTCAGATCCACTTCACCAGCCTATTGTGAGGGGGAAGGAGGGAGAAGATGCACTTGGGAGGGGAGGTGGGAGGGACTTCAATGTAACAAATGTTGGACGGATCCTGATGGCAAGACCCTGGTCTACGTTCTGAGCAGCACTAGCTGCAACAGAGCTTGGAAAAATAACCCCGGGCAGGGTGGTTACAAAATGAGAATCCTACAGACAAAAGGGGGATTCAGGGAGATGATGATGATGATTGTAAAGTCAGCTTTTGTTCGACTTCGGCCCACTTCATTTAAATGCATCCACAACAAGGGATGCTAAGGAAAGCTTATCAAGTTTTTACAGTGGCTCAAGATTTGTTTTTTTCCAGTTTTGCTGCCACAGATAAACGAAGTTTCAGGAAGGATGCTATTTTGCACCCACAGCTGTCTGCTTTTTAGTCTGGAAGTATCTCAATGGTTCTTCTCTCTCTCTCTCTCTCTCTCTCTCTCTCTGTCTTTAGGTGGACAACCAGCTCTTACGGACCACTCAGCCGTTCATGCTTTTTCTGACCCCTAAAACTGCAGAAACCGAAACGGCTGAGACGGGTCCTGCTGTGCAATTGAATGCCATGAAATTTCCCAGCAAGAGCCCTTTAACGGATATATACAAGGTAATCCAGCAGCAGAAGAAATGTTCTGCCCGATGAAACGAGGGCTGCCGTGGAACATGGAGCCAGGGAGTGACGTGGGTGGACAACCAAGGAGACTCTGAGCTTTTTGCCAAAGTACAGATAAGCTCCGTGGTTGAGAAGCTGGGAGTTTGATTCCTCGCTGGGCCTCTGTGTGCCCTCTGCTCTTTGTCCCTCCCCTGTAGATGTTTGTCTAGCTTTGTTCCTGGTTGGCGTTGAGCTGTACAGCGAATCCTGCACAACAGTGATGGGCTATGTGGTATCCCCCAGATGCTCATAGCTTCGGAGGACGAGCCAACAAGCTGGGCGGGGTAGTGTAGTGGGGCAAATCTGCCGGAAGCCATATTCCAAAGCCATTCCTCTCTTTTAAAAAGGCTGGCCAGGCTCCCCGCGTTGGATGTATCTCTTTCCTCATCCCCATGAGACAGGAAGGTGGCTCTCTGGAATGTGAACTCGCTGCGTCGCTCGGCAGGCTGGAGCGCTGTGCGTTCGCATTCCATCAGTCTCGTGGCCTGTGGATCTGGTTCAAATCTTGTGGCTTCCTGCGGACCAGAATGAGCGGAAGTCCTGGGGGGCTGGAATTCAGAGCCCTGAATTTAAAATACAAGCACATGTTGGGGGGGGAGTTGTTTGTTTGTGTCACATATCTTTCAGTGTGAGCACATTCCTGGCAGGAAAGGAAAATATTCCTTCTGCAAGAATGCAACGCTCAGAGCATCGCAGCCCAGGGGGCAACTGTAGTCGTGCCCTTTCGGCTTGGGGTGATGAATGCCCCCCGGGACCAATTTTATTCACTTTTGCGATGCTTTTCGGACATAGAAGGCATGATGGGGGGAAAAAACCCAATATTCTCTCATTCCAGCATCTGATGGTCACTGCTAGCAAGTTCACCGTTCAAATCGAGGAGAAACTATTCCTTAAGCTCCTGAGTTTTTTTGGCTACGATCGCTCGGAACCGGGTACGTTGACCAGGCCTGCAAGCAAAGTCGGTGGAGAGGTAGTCAAAACGAGGCCTTCCCAAGAATGCCGTTGGATTGCAAGTCCTAGAGTTCTTCACCATGGGCTCTGCTGTCTGGGGATGATGGGGTTTGCAATACACAATCATCCGGAGCCCTTTCTGTGGTCTGCCTCTGCTGTGATAAAAGCAGCTTAGCCATGCAGGGAAACTTTTCACCTTTAGAAAAGAGAGCCTGAAAACATGGTGAATGGCTAGCGCCGTGGAGCCCCGTGGCCAAATAGGCCCCCTCCTGCTCTTCCAGTCTGGTTTTAGTTTTTGTTTGTTGTTGTTGTTGTTCCGGAAGGCCTCCCTCCTCAAACCTTTGGTTCTGCTTTTAAAACACCTGGAGGAAACCTGCTTACAAAGACGAATGGAGAATGTTTGCATTAAAATTTTCTTGGGTCCAGATTTAAATAATAATAATAATAATAATAATAATAATAATAATAATAAAGGAAATGTAGATAAGCGTTAGCTATCATGAAGTGCACTGTTTCGAAAAATTGAAGAAACCAATGATTTTTTATTTTCCAGTTTCTTTGGGCATTAAAAAATGGCTGCATTTTTCAGTGTGTTTTGTTAAAACAAACACGTCTAAATGCTATAAGTGATGGTGACATCCGTCATTTAGTAGGGCCCCACCCCCACCGCCGTCGTCATCGTGACTCTGTTAAAAAGTTTCACTAAAACTACAGAGCCATGCATTCTTTAAGGCAGGCTGGATTCATTGCTTCATTATACCAGTTGATTGTAACTCATTGGTTGTGCTGGGTTTTTCGGGCTCAGGTTGCTGTCCTCTGAAGATGCCGGCCACAGAGACTGGCAAAACATCAGGAAGAACAACCTTCAGAACACAGCCAAAGAGCCCGAAAAACCCAGAACAGCCATTAGATCCCGGCCGTGAAAGCCTTCACGAATATATTGTAACTCATTGCTTCAAACCTCTGAAAGGAGCTGTGGTTATTAGTTAGAGGTCATCAGCATTCAGGTATTCTGGAGAATACAACACTTGAGTTTCTCACCAGACATAGAAATTACTAGGAACAAAAGTTGTGTTTTCTAGCGCAGTGCTCCCCAACCTTGGGTCTCCAGATGTTCTTGGACTTCAACTCCCAGAAATCCTAGCCAGCAGAGGTGGTGGAGAAGGCTTCTGGGAGTTGTAGTCCAAGAAATCTGGAGGCCCAAGGTTGGGGTCCACTGTTCTAGGGAAGCTGTTTACCTGTCATCCTTGGCTTGACAGCATGTAGGATGGGCTTTCCTCTTACTTCTGTGTCTTTTTTCATGATAGTAGAATAGATTTTCCAGCTAGGTGCTAATAATGCTTATGTTATGCTATTGTCTACAGAGGTTGAAAGTTATGATGAAAACCTCCATGAGAATCCTGTCGATCAAGGTGGAGCCCAAAAACGGTATTACTTTGAAAACCTCAAAATTAGCGTGCCACAGATAAAGCTGAGCGTCTTCACTTCCAGCAAACTCCCCTTGGATCTCAAGGTAAGTCCCCTTAGATCCCTCGCTTCAGATGACGTCTTCCTAACATTAGTTCTCAGATCTTTGCTGGAATACAGCTCCCGTCATCCCTTGCCCAGGACGGGCTATGGTCAGAAAAGGTGGGAGTTGTAAGCCAGCAACATTAGGGGGTCCAAGGATGGGAACCACTGTAGGATGTATAGTTCTTACAGGATGTGTCTGTATCAAAGCACAGCGTCTTGGCAGGGAATCCTCATGCAAAGGAGAACCAAGTTTCTAGTCCTTTCGGGTTGACCATGTGAAACTATATCTTTTAAAGGAGGGTTGGACAACTCCTGCGCTCACAGTCCTTCCCACCTCTGTGCTACCTTGGGCTGAGGGGAGGAACAGTTCAACATCTGGAGAACCACTCAGTTTTTGGATGTGAAACTCTCTCTCTTTTTGCCCCACGAGCCTCTGTGTTCTTTTTGTGAAATCAGCCCGTCTGAAATTAGACGGGGAACTTTAACGCATCTGGTCATTTGGGTGATTCTTTCTCTCCCTCCCTTCCTCTCCGGGCGCCGTCTTCTATTTCTGAGATCAGCTAGCCATCATGGCTTATCAAAATAACCTTATGCTTGTTCAGGTTCATGAGAAGATGCCTCGTGTTCAACTGACTTTAGTGTCTAATAGGAGAAAGCTTAAGTAGGTCTGTGCGGTCTCCATATGGTTACATGCCTGTGGCCTCTTCTGTTTGAAATCTGGGCAGGCGAACACACTCCCTTTCTGTTATCAGGGCTTGACCTTTTTTTCCCCCCATTCTATCAGTGCCTTTCAACAAATGTGCTAATACAGTTTCTCACTCCAGTTTTCAAACCTTCAGGGACCCCTTTTTTATCTCAGCTTGCACAAAGGCTCCTCCGCTCAGCGTGCAGGATTTGGGACCATGTACTGCGGCTCCTGCTCCAGTCTAGTCTGACCCCTGCCCTGAGAATGGACCGCAGGAGGCGTCCCATGCACTCCTGCGGGCGGTGAGCAAAAGCGGCCTTTTGGAGGCCGCCTGCTGTCCCTTATCCTTATCCTCCTCCAAGAAGTCTTGATAAGCTTCCAAGGCACTCTGCGTTCCCTAGAAACACCGCTTGAAAGATACCGTGTTCTAAATCAACAAGTCGATTCTTAATCTCTGGTTAACAAAAGGGTTGACCACGGCAAAATGTCCAAGTCTTGTTCTGAATGGCATTCGTAGTCAGCTGAGGTCTGGGATAGGCAGCCTGAACGCACAGAGGAAGCCAAAACTAGGTGGCTCTTCCTGAAAAACCAGCAACCTGGTTCAAAAGGCTGATATCCAGAAATGCAGTTCTTTGCCACTCTGAGCAAGGCCGGGGGGGTGGGGGTGGGTCTGGTGCTTTTGAAAAAAGTCTTCCTTTCCTTTCAGGCACACCTCAAGGCAGAGAAACTGGGTGACATTTGCACATTGCCCTTTCAGTTATTTTCTGTTTTCATGCCGCCAAAGAAGGATATTCTCCACCTGGGATTTCGCTAAAGCTTAAGATCTGAATATCGCCTCTTCTTTCCCCTTCCAGTTCAGCTCTGTTTGGAGTCGTGGGGGTGGGGCGGAGAGAGAGCGGGAAGGAGACAATGACAGGAAGAGATTGACTAAAGCAACAGGGTGGGAAATGCCTCTTTCGGAAATCCATAATTAAAGCTAGCAGCAGGACCTGTTCAGCTGCCTGAAAGTTATGATCTAGAATTGAGACTCTTAACGTTTGTTCTAGGCCCTGAAAAGCACTCTGGGCTTCCCTTTGGTGAGGTTTGAAGACGCCGTGATCAACCTGGATCCCTTCACCAGAGTCCACCCTTACGAGACCAAAGAATTCATCATCAATGACATTCTGAAGCACTTCCAGGAAGTGAGTACCTCTGGGCTTTAGAGGCCATAAACTGACCAGCCCTGAATTGCCCCCCCGTATGGAGCCTGCGTTCTGCTCAGTTTTCTCCAAAGCATTGATCTGACTCTTAAGCGCACATCCAGATAAGGGTGGGGAATGTGGCCTCTTTGTCCTTTTCCCTCCCGATACCTTAGTTTGGTCCCTCTGAAGTTTCCTTGTTGCCTGATCTGCTGTGGTCTAGTAGTTTCCAAAGTTTTCTATGTTTCTCTGCCCCATGCTAAAATGTCAGAATGCTTCTCGTCAAAGGTTTAATTATTGCAGACAGAAACCAGGAGTCCAATGCTTTCCTAAGAAGGATGTTCCGTCTACATACAGAAATGCTTTTCTTACATTTGTGATTGATGATGATGTGTAAGGACATAAAAGAATTACAGCGGGTTTGTCGGGAGCAGGTTGTCCATCCGTAGGCATGCCTGTCTGTGGCTGGGGTTTTTCCAGCGTCCGTGGCTGCCTCCCAGGACCAGTGCCGCCACATCTTTTCATCCCCTTGCAAGCTGCTGCCGTGGGCCACCCTCTTCGTTCCCTTTGGCCAGAGGTGGGCAGCAGGAGGCTTGCCCTTGGTCTGTGCTCTCTGACCCCATAGCCCAGTCATAGAATCATGGTGTTGGAAGGGGCCTCTAAAGGCCATTTAGTCCAACCCTCTGCTCCGGGCAGAAAATCCAAGTCCAAGCAGATTGGAGGAATAGTTCTCCTTAAGGCTACCTTCAGCTCCACATTCTCTTTGGTTCATTAGTGCTCGAGACGCTTTTTACCCTAAAATGTCCAGTATCACATTGCTTAGCGCTTTCCTCTCATTGGCCATAAATGCAAGTGCCAATTATATGGCAGAAAATGGCAAGTGGGCAATTGCAGAATCCCAGAATCATGGCATTGGAAAGGGGCCTCTAAGGCCATCAAGTCCAACCCCCTGATACTCCACTTTGTCGGTGGGAGGATACAGAGTTTGAGGGACTGAGTACCTTCTTAGCCATTATTATGAAAGCTCAGCATCTTCCCTAGGTCGCTTCTGCCTCCATCCGGCGATAAGTATAATGCCACGACCCACACCTGTCGCCAGGTGAGAACGGCCGCTCTGAAGCCTGTTAACAAAGTCTCCTTTCTAGGAGCTGCTGAGCCAGGCGGCAAGGATCTTGAGCTCCGTGGACTTCCTTGGCAACCCAATGGGTCTCCTCATCGATGTTTCGGAAGGCGTTACCGGGCTGATAAAATACGGAAACGTTGGCGGACTTCTAAGGAACGTCGCCCATGGAGTGTCCAACTCTGCTGCCAAGGTAAGAAAGCGCTGGAGTGCCGTAAGAAGAGGAGGGGAATCTGAAGCATTTGTGGTACCTTTGCCCATCCAGATGCTCGGGAGCCTCTTCCTTCTGAAAATTCCCATTCTAGCAATTCGCCAAATAGATTTAATGAGCACCTTGCCAACCATGTTGCCTAAGTGGGTGCTGGGTTCAGAAACTTCACCAAAGCAGACTTGATTGGACGCCTCTCCCAGAATGCCCTGGCAGGGGTAAACCATGCTGTTGGTGGTGTTCTGTATGTTGTGGTTCAAGAATGGGTGTTCCTCGGCACAACACGAAACCATGAACCTTTTGCTTTCTTTGACTTTGTGTCGGAAATCTAAAGGCAAAAGTGGCCATCGAGGCGACAAGTGGATGTTGAGAATCTTAAGAGCCTGAGCTGAGGATAAAGCGAGAGTTTGCTTGTGCTGTGTTTAAAATGCCGAAACCTGGGTTGTGCCTGTTTTTGAGCTGTGAGCAGCCTCTTTCCAGCTCCTCCCGCAAAGCCATGGCATCATTAGGGTGCCCGTGTTGGCTTGTTTTCCTCTTCCCTCCTCATCTCGTTCCCCTTTTGTGTCGTGTCTTTTGGATTGCAAATCCGCCAGTGGGATTTGACCTGTTTTTATAGATTTGACAGAAAGCTCCTTCTGGGAACCCTTCCGGCTGAATGAAGTGCTGTAAACAAATAGGTAACGGTTGACTTGAACTGATGGGGGGGGGGCTGCATTCTAGCATAAAATCTTCAGCAAATGTTCTGACAGATGATGGGGAGGCTGTGTCCTCTTTTATGCCATCCCGAAAGGCTTCTACATTTGGGCATAAAAACCCTTGCCATTTAAATTCCTCCCATGGTTCTTATTTCATCCTTTCCTGGTCTTCCCTCCCAGTGATCTTTTCTGTCGGAGGTCTCTCTGCCTTTTCCATGTTTCCCTGGTCTTTCGGCGAGGAAAGCCCCCTAGGTGGGCTTTGTCCCTTCGATGAGAAGAGAACGCTGCGTTTCTGAAATAGCAGAAACATTGCAGTGTGTCTGTTTTGAGGCATTGCATTCTGATTTCAGAATAGTTTAGAATGTCATTTTTAAAATGCAATAGCAGTGGAGTAACCACCACTAAAATGGCAATAGAAGCAGCACAAGGCAGAGTTAGATAAAATCAGCGAATTTATATAATAGCCCATCGATGCATGCTCTCTCTATATATTTAGAACCCTTCTGTAAAGTTGCCGGACTCTCCTTCCCTGTATTGCTGCCTTGGCCCAATGAGTGGGATTTTTTTTTCAACAAGGTTTCTCCTAAGACACTTTCCTAAGCAGTGAAACTTGTTCAAAATCCATGTTGTTGTTTTTTTCATTATAATTATTATTCACTCCCTCCTAATGCTGCTTTGTAGTTTGCATCGTCCAGAAGCACCTTTGAAAGCTAGCCCAGCTATTGCAAATAAATTACAGTGGTGCCTGCATGACGACGACAATCCGTTCCAGGAAAATCGCTGTACAGCGAAATCGTCATCATGCAAAAAAACCCATTGGAATGCATTGAAAAACGTTTAATGCATTCCAATGGGGAAAATACTTCGTCGTCCAGCAAAGACCACCCATAGAGAACCGCGGATCAGCTGTTTTAAATCACTGTCTTGCAAAGCTTCTGTCCGGAAAACACCCATTTTGCAAAGGGAAGTCATTTTGCGGAGCCGGAAAAATTGTCGTTTTGCAAACAAACAGTTTGCGAAGCAAGGACCTAATCATCATCAAGTGAAAATCCCCCATAGGAAACATTGTTTTGCTATTGCTATAGCAATCGCAAAAAAAGTCATCGCCCTGTGGTTTCGTCGTTCAGCAAGGTCGTTGTCTAGCGCGCCACCACTGTATCTCATCACCGTGCATGATGGCCCAACAAAACTGATACACTGTGGTCCTCACTTCCCTGCAGCAAGAGCATCATTTCCACATGTCTGCTCTTGCCTCCAACCTTTATCCTGATTCAGGAGAGCGAGAGATTTCCACGCCCTTGTCTACATTGCATCCGTTCTCGGCCAGCAGCAGCAAACCTCTGCTCTCCACCGAAGTCTAGCGTGGTGCTTCTCAACCCCCAGGGCATGCCCGCTCAGCATGGAAGGGAGGCACACTTTCTAAACCAACCAGTGCTTTTTATATGTTTGCAGTCATAATATTTCAAATTTCAGATGAAATTGTTAGGAGAGGCGTGGTTGAATGCAGCCATGACATTTTTATGTTTACCGAAAGGGGGCATAAGATCATAAAAGCTAAGAAAAACGTCTCTAGAAGAACTTGTGAATACAGCCCCCTCTGTTACCTCCTTCTTTTTAAAAAAAAAAATGGGATTCAGAAGGTGCAAATAATGAGGGAATGTCTGCGTCCCTTTTATAACAAGACCAAATTTTAACAACCTTTTTTTTTTTAAAGAAAGGGGAGTCTGCAAGAATTGCTCCGAAAAATTCCCCATATTTATGGGCTGCGTCTGGTTTTGCCATTATATAGGGGTTTTTTTCCTGTTTAATCGCGGCCTTGATTATTCCCATAATGGTTTTTCCATGTATCTTGGAGCATGCACTGGCTGAATGGCCTCTTTCAAGTCAGAGAGGTTCTGTGTATTTAAGTTGGCACAGAAACCCAGGTTAAAGAAAGTTCACTCCAGACAGTTTGGGCCACCACGTGATCCCTTGGAGGCGGGCTGTTTTTCTGTGTTAAGAAAGGACTTTGATCCTAAATATAGGCTCATGAGGGAATTTCCATTCCATCTGTGACAGAAGCCCTAGCACTTGCTTTAAAAAAAAAAAAAGAAAACTTTTATTTCTTCACATCCGTTGTAGATATATAGATATATGCATGCATGCACAACAGTTTCGAACTATTATTTTCGTATTTGCATTGCTAACCCTAAATCAATCCCTCCTCTTGGCTAGAAGGAACAGATGCTGAATTTTCAGCTGCAGGGTAAAATTCAGTCCTTTTTTATTTCATAAATTGGAAGCTTCTGTTTCATTACAGTGTTTACCACTGAGAAAGAGTGGGTTTGGGGAGGTTGTTAAAGAGGTATTTATGCATTAGAGTTTTTAGTTTGAGTGGCATTTGGTTAGAAGCTGCTTAAAGTACTAGAGGTGAGATGGGTAGAACATTTGCTTTCTTGGACTACAGTTCCCAAAATCCCCTCGTCAACATGGCAGCTGGCTGAGGGATTTGAGTAAATGTAGCTCATTAAGTTGGGTCTCTGGCTGCAGAGCCAGAGGTTGGGAATTTGATTCCCCCGCTGGGCGTCTTAGGAGAAAGGCCAGCCTGTGTAGCCTTGGGCAAGCTGCATAGTCCAAGGGCGCCCCCCAGAGGAAGAAAATGGCAAAACAAACCCCCCGGAAACTCTGGAGACAGTCATGGTAAGTCAGAATTGACCTGAGGACACGTAATGAATTAACAGGGAAAAAAAAGCAAACGTTGAGCTCTTAGTTTGCTTCTAAAAATTGGTTTGGTTGCCCGTTGCTCTGGAAATGTAAGGAAAGCAGTGATCTTGCTTTAAAATCATAAATGTATAAACCAAATACCAAAAAAAAAAATCCTGCCTGAGACAAGAGTAAATAAGAATCTGTAATTCCATAAGATGCAGCAGTTTTTAGGAGAAGAAAACAGGAAAATATAATTGTTTTCTTCGCTCCATAAGATGAACAGACTTTCCACACACACCCCTGTTTTGTGGGAAAAAAGTGTGTCTTATGGTGCAAAAAATACGGTATTTTTATATTTTGAATTGTTTTTTATTGAAATAAGTTATTTTTATATATGTATTTGTTGGGGTTTTTTAAAGGCTTGTATGTTGTGTATTAGAGCCTGAGGAAGTGGATTTCATCCACTTTGGTTGTTTTTTTTTTAAAAAGGCCCGTATGTTGTGTATTCGAGCCTGAGGAAGTGGATTTCATCCACGAAAGCTTGCTAGTTGTTTATTTATTTATTTATTTTAGTGGTCCAATAACAAGTATCCCCTGCTCTTGGTTTTCTGTATGATGAAAGTTTCGGTTTAAATGTGGCGTAACTCAAAAATCTCAGTATGTAATCTGGGGGGGTTAGCAATTCTAATTCTATATTTGTGCCACCACAAATGGCACGCCCATCTATTAATTCAAATGCATTGCACCTCTTTGTCATGTATATAGTTATAGGAACATCAAGCAGCATGTTTTTGCGTCTAATTTTTGTGGTATCTGTTTCTGTGGTGTGAATTAAGAGGACTTGAGTGGCCCCTCTCTTTGGCACTAAGGTGACCATCTCTGCTTCTCCGTACCTCAATTCTCTTAAAGTGGGTGAAATGTGGCCTCTGGGCTTCGTGTGACCTCAAAACTACTGTTGTGGCCCTCAAAGACCCCCTAAAATAGGGAAAATAAAAACTAGGTAAGAATTGCCACTGCAAAAAGCATACAGTATTCTTTATTGGCTGTGCAGACTTCTAGTTTAAGAGTCATTAGTTAATGTTATTTTAACTTGTCTCACAAGAAAGTTGGAGAAAGTTGGGCTGGATTCTGCACTTGGTATTTAGATAGAGCCAGTAACCAACTCTGCTTAGGGCACAGATGTCCTCTCCAGTTGTAAACTCGTCTAACTCCGTAGAGTTACCAAAATTGCAGCCAGAGGGCTGCGTAAGCCAAAAAAGAAAGATCCCAGCCCTGATGAGGGTAAAAGCAGGCATTATAACCCACGATTAGAAGAGGAAAATCCATAAATCCCACCATCTCCAGAGTCTACAATATATGTGAATGCCAGGCGCATGGGAAATGCATAAGAAGAACGGGAAATTTTAAAGAACTCAGGCCAATGAGAAGTAGGGTCCCATTGCAGGAGGTCATAACAAGAAAAGGAGTCCGAGAAGGGTGGGCCGAGAAGGGTAGGATGTTTTAGAAAAGCAAATTCTAAAAGCACAGCTGCCAGCCATTCCAACAAGAAGAGGATGAGATGAGATGTTTTAGAAAAGCGAATTCTAAAAGCACAGCTGCCAACCA